ATGAATAATTTCCCATATCTTCCATGTTTTCTGAGAAAATTGCTTACAATTATACATCATTGGAAAGAGTATTAAATTCTCTATAAAGCCGTGTAAAATTGAGTTTTGTAACTTTTGAAGTTTCCAAGATATCCAGGTTCAAAGTTGAAATTTATTCTAAATTTTGTCCAAAACTTCAAACTCGATCTTCTCAAAAACCGTAAACGCTAGCGATTTCAGATAAATACCATCTGAAAGCCCCTATCAAGGACTACAATCCCTCAAAATTTTGTCACAATCCCGCTTCTGGTTACTGAGATATTGAAGTTTGAAGATTTGGAAACTAAAATCCAAAGGGGGTAGGCTTGGAAAAAACTGCAAAAAATTGAAAATTTTTATTTTTGGATTTTTCTCAATTTTGAATTGAGAAATAGATAGAGCGAGTCCAAACTAGTCAGGAACAACTCTAACATCGGTTACATTTGACAATTTCGATGAGAAAAAAAATCCAAAAGGAAATCTCATTTTTGGCTGTGGAAATTTTTTGAAATCTTGACACGCTCATGAATAATTTCTCATATCTTCCATGTTTTCTGAGAAAATTGCTTACAATTATACATCATTGGAAAGAGTATTAAATTCTCTATAAAGTCGTATAAAATTAAGTTTCGTAGCTTTTGAAGTTTTTAAGATATGGACGTTCAAAGTTAAAATTTAGTCCAAATTTTGTCCAAAACTTCAAGCCTAATTTTCTCAAAAACCGTGAGCACTAGCGATTTAAGCTAAATACCATCTGAAAGCCCTTATCAAGAGCTACAATTCCTGAGAATTTTGTCTCAGTACCGATTTTGGTTACCGAGATATTGAGGTTCGAGGATTTGGAAATTAAAATCCAAAGGGGGTTGCCTGTAAAATCTGTAAAAAATTGAAATTTTTTATTTTTGAATTTTTCTCAATTCTGACTTTAGAAATCTATAGAGCGAATCTAAATTAGTCAGAAACAACTTCAACATCATCAGTTACATTTGACAATTTCCATGAGAAAAAAAATCCAAAAAAATCTCATTTTTGGCTCTGGAAATTTTTTGAAATCTTGACATGCTCATGAATAATTTTTCATATCTGCTATGTCTTTTGAGAAAATTGCTCACAATTAAACATCATTGGAAAGAGTATTAAATTATCTATAAATCCTTGCACAATTGAGTTTTGTAGTTTTTGAAGTTTCCAAGATATCGACGTTCAAAGTTGAAGTTTAGTCCAGATTTCTGAAAGCCTTCTTCAAGAGCTACAATCCCTGAGAATTTTGTCTCAGTATCGTTTCTGGTACCGAGATGGGATAAGGACTAGGATAAACGTTCAATTTATTGAGAATTATTTGGGCATTTGGAAATTATTGGTTCTGGAACGGTTCTTATGTCTGTTGGAACAGAGTTAATGGGTAATGTTTGGTTATTTTCGGAGCATAGCCTCATATATACGTTTTGGGCGTGGCACCCGGCAATTTTTTTCACCCCCTTCCCAAATGCCGATGCATGAGCACTTATTGTGAAATACAAAAAAGCAAAAACTTTCAAGTATTAAGCTTGCTCATCAACAGTATCTAGGATGTAGAGAGGAGTTTTAGAGTAAATACGAAAATTTTCTGGTCATACCTGAAGGAGCTTAAAGATTCAGCATACTTGAAAACATGACTTTTGAGAATGGGACATACTCTGGAGCACAAATTGTAGCTGATGGGTTTGCAAGATTTTTTAGGTCAGTTTTTGTTGAAAATAGTGATCCTGAATGTGAAACTTTCAAAGCTAAATCATATTTTTGTGATAAAAAGATATCTCCCTTAGATATAGAGATGACCCCAGGCGGGTTTCCTGAAGAATATAATAAAGAATAAATATATTAAAGAATATAATAATTATTTGCAAATGGAAAGTAGCACTTTACCATATAGTATGCGGTAAAGTAGACTTTGGTATTTATTATTAAAAATCCTTTTTGGTGGTAAGGAACATGTTAACAATTTAATATAATACATAATAGGCACTTGTGGACTCGACTCATAATGTAGACAGTAAAAAAAAAACAAAAAATAAAACAAACAACACAGTATTAACGGTAATTAAAAAAATAAAATAAATTGATACAGTCGAACCGACAAAAAGAGAGGGATGATTTAAGGTTCTAATTGTTCGACCGTCTACCGTATAATGTTATTGCAAATTATATGTAGGTACTCAAGTTGGAGGTTCTTGCTTGTCGCTTGGTGTTCGACGAAATAAAAAAGAAAGAAAAGAAAAAAAGGAGGCATGCAGCCGATGAGAATACCAATAATAAACAATTATCATTTGGTTCTATGTAGGATGTTGTATAGTTTTTAAAAGATTATGGTATACCATACTCAAACCTTCAACGTCCTGCTTTTTGTTAATATTATAGGGGTGTTTTCTAATTTCAATCATTTCATTTAACAATCTTTTTTTATAATTAATTTGCTTTCCCAAAATAGCAACATTGTCAAAATCAAAGGCATGTTGTTCAACTTCGAAATGTTCCGCTACTGCAGTTTTATTGTTTGTATTCAAAATATTAGCAGGTCTTATACTCCGTTTGTGTTCAGACATTTTTGTTTTCAAATATCTTGCTGTTTGGCCTATATAGACACCATTACATTCATAGATTCATAGATAACTAGAATTGAAGTACCTAACAGTACATAACCTGAATGGTAAATTTCATATAACAAAGGTAGTAATTAATTGAAACTGAAATAACAACATCTAATTTGAAGGGTAATTTAATATTGTAGTAGAACTGCGTTGTTGTGGTGATTTACTCCAACAAGGGGAAAATACAATAAGAATACAAGACACTTATCAAACCTGAGTAGTTCCTAATCTCTAGAGGCGAATCTGAAGGATTGGATCAATATCTCCCAATGTTTCCGATGGCCTGGAACTGGATCAGGATTGCGACAAGAAACAACTGGCCCTGGGCACTGAAGTTCAGTAACTAGGAGTCACTAAAGCTTCCAATGGTCTAGACGAGGCTGAAGATTGTAGGTACTACTTGAAATATACAGTAAGCTTAACGTATGACTCTTTACTGAAAGTCAGGGACTAAAGCGTGACGAATAAAAGGTGACATCTAAAGGTAAAGGCCTGAAACAAATGGACTTTATGAGACTGGGCGTGGAGCATTAGGTAGGTATGTCCAATATTCGGCATTTAACCATATAATTAACAGAAAACTATGCTTTTACATAGGAAATAGAGAAACACAGAGAAGATTAATAAGAAAAACGACTTACCAAAATACTTTGGCCTTTAGGAACAAACAATTAGTCACGTTGCTCTTTTTCGACTCACAAAAAAAAATCCGCACAAGGCGATCGGGTGCTAAAATAACAGATTAGCCACCCTAGATCTATGAGCGAAAACTAGACAACTCATAAAATCGGCAAAATGTGCCTGAGGAATTTTCCCGAACACTTAATTGTGAAAAGTCCTCGACCTGAATGACCTCTGCTTGTCCCTGCAATGTCCTTTAAAAAGGCTCTGTCAAAACTCCAAGGTGGAAGGTACTGATGATTTTGATGGTAGTTGGGGCATGGTACTTATTCAAATTAAGTTAGTACCGGTCACTGACCCTATTTGGAGCGCTGTCAATCTAGTCAATCTACTCGGATCAAACAATCAGCTGTTCCAATGTAAATATTGTAATTTTATTTATTAATAAATTAACTGACTATTTATTTTAACCCTACCAAAAGGAAATCAATTCCATTATTAAACCTCTAACTTAATAATTCTGGGAAGAATTGAAAGTTTAATGAAAAGTGTGACCACAATTATCGGATAGAAAACAGTGGCTTGAGAAAGGTATGCTATTCAGAGAGGCGAATATACTTATTTCCTTTTATTTTGGCCCGGGAAAAATCATCCCGTAACAACAATAGTGACTCTCATTGACTAAAGCATTCATGCGCATCTTGCATTAGAAATGACGAAATATACTCCTGGGCAAAATTATCGCACCACTGCACATAAGCACCACCATAAGCATGAGTGGTGCGATAATTTTGTCCAGGAGTATATTTTAGGATCATGTTACTAGGTAGCCAGGTTTTTTATCAGCTATATTTTGGAATGGTTTACTAATGAGAATTTCGGCATCCTCGCATGTTTGGGAAAGTGACGTCCCTTTCCTATCCGGCCTTTTTGGAACAGTTTGAAAATTCGTTTTTCAAATCATTTTATTTTCAAAAATAAAAGTTTTTTTTGGAAAACAATACACAGATGTTATATCAGAATGACTAACAGAATAGTTTGAAAATGTGAAAGTTGCCCATTTTTGTCAGGAATTCCCAATTCCCCTGTAACATACTCAAATGTTACGCGCCTATTTTTTTCGGTAAGGAGGAGAACTTTTGTTTACGGAGCACCTTCTCTCCTGGGCCCCTATTCTTGAAACAAGGAAGCAGCATTTCCATGAGAATAGCTTTTCCGTCTGTGTTACTCGATATTATCATTTGTGCATGTCATTGAAAGACAGAGAAATCGTTGTCACGAGAACGCTGGTCCTTGTTTTCAAAAATAGGTACCCGGAGCTAGCACTCTGTACCGGATAAAGATCGTTATCCCTATCGCTAAGGCACTTGCTGTCTTCTTCTCTGTTGAATGATGAAGTTTATTGCATAACAATATTGACTTAAATTATAGATTAAGAAGCTTTCATATAAAATTAAAAATATTGATGCAATTCTTCCTGGTAGAAAAAATTCAATAAACTTTAAAACAATGTCCCGCGTACGTCATAACATTACGAAAAACCAGAATTCCAAACCCATTTTATCGCAATCAATTAATTCCAGTTAAACGCGATGACTCTACACAAACATGACTAATCCTAGTTTGGTACGGTTCGGTGGGTACCGCACCGCGAACCAACTTATACAATAATAGACGATTTTACAGTGCACCAGTACCATTTTTAAAACGGCGACTGATTGGTCTCAATTAGTCTTAATTTTTCGGATCATCCTGCTGCTTGACGCTCGCCTGGCACCCTCGGGATTTTTAGTTTAGTAATAAAGTGTGTGCGGGCCCCAACAAAAAAAAAATCGTATTGGATTATAAATTATACTGGAATTATGGACGATGGAACTAGTAACAGATCACAATTTTCCGAGTTAGTGAGGTAATAATTGATAATTTATTGTATTGGAAATATTTTACTTGGAAAGTGCAAGACACTAAGTAGGTACTTATATTTTTCATTGCATTGTAAAGTAGTCATAAGTATTCTGAAACTTTTTGGATATTTTGGAGCAGTTTTTGATACTTATGAAAGTTCTAATTGGGCTTAAGAGTATTCCAAAAGCGCTCTAATAAACCTAAGAAAAGTTCTGTAATGATTTTTGAGGTGTTCTAAAACTTTACAATTTTCCTGAAACTTTGAAATACCAAGTATCCATTGAGCTGAAATGTTGTTGAAAGTTCATAAATGATTCTACAGTTTCATTAATGCTTTTAAAATACTACAACGCTCTTAATAATGGTATCAGAAGTCTCTTAAATGTTTTTGATATTTATGGAAGTTCTAACTGGTTCTAAAGTGCTCTAGAGTCTTCAATTTTTGTCCATTCCAGGCGCTAGGTTCTCTGCAATAAGTATTGTAAAATGGCTTATTGAAATTCTAAAGTGTTCTAACTTCGCTTGAAGAGTACTGGAGCAATTTAGAAGTTTTTCAGTAATTTCCAAATTGTTCTGACACATTTTTAACTATTTTAGAGCTTTATTTGAAGCTCCAAAGTATTCTAAATTGGTTCAAAAGAGTTCTAAATAGAATCCTAATTGTTCTAAAACAACTCTGAAGTTCCTGAATTGTTCCAAAATGCTCTTGAAAATTTTTCACATGCCTCCTTTTCTGCAGAATCTCCAGCCTGGTTTTAGTGGACGAAATGTATTGTTTAATTAACATTTTAAACTTTTTAATAATGTTCATTTTTTGAAGGAGTTTTCTGCTTAGTTTCACTTTTAGGATTTGCTCTGCATTCTCCTTGCCTTTTTCCAGCTTTTCTATTTTCTTTATAGTGGTGAAATAGGTAGGCTTCCCAACTTGCCAGTTGCCTGCAATGTATGTCTCTTTTGATGTTGAGTCTCTTTTCAGTTTCCTTTAGGCTGGTTGCTCGAGTCTCCGTGATTTTAGAAATCAAAGTAGTTACTATGTCTTTATCTTGAGGCCTAATATAGAACTTTTTGATTTTTATTTTGTTCTTACCAGTAGCTTTGAACGTTCTGTCAAATTTTTGTTTATAATTCCAGAACTCTTCGCTGTAGGGTTGCTGCGATAATTCTGGGTTCTCATGGGGTTGCACTTAAGCCTCGGGTGGCTGTGGCATTACCAAAAGTGTTTGTGATGGTATTTGAGTTAGGTTTTGGCTTTCTGGTATAGTTTCATTGTTCGGGGGGTCGCACTGGTATTTTATGCTGTTGGATTAAGGAAACTAACCTTAGCTCTTCCTCCTCAGACCAGAATTTACTTTCAGTCGGTGCTGGTTGGGGCTCTGGGCCTATTTCATGTTGCTCGTGTTGTTGTTTAAGTTCTAGGTATTTTGTTTTATTCCTGATAGAGATCTACCTGGAATTTGCTGTTCCAGAGCCTGAAAGTCTTCTTTCAGTAGTACTCCATTGTTTTGCTGCAGTTTTTCCCGGAGGAAAGCAATTTCTTCTGGTTTCCAACGACGTGCCATTGTTGATTTTTCGCGTTGCACTTTGATTAGAGGAATTGCCCACAGTTACACATATGGAGGGTCGTATGTGGGGCAATTTTTTACCAACTTTCGTGAATCTACGAGGTGGGAAATACCGGAAAATTCGAAATTTTTCCGATACACAGCGCGCACGTAAACAGCTGTCCAGGTGGAACAATGGTTTATTATTTCTGTGTTTTGTCGTTGTGTTTTTTGTTGACTGTTCTTATTCATGAGCGTGTCAATTTCTCGGTAACCAGAAGGGGTATACTAGGATAACATTTTCAGGGTTTGTAACTCTTGATAAGGGCTTTCAGATGGTATTTGGCTGAAATCGGTAGCTTCTATAGTTTTTGAGAAAATCGAGTTTGAAGTTTTGGACAAAATTTTGACTAGAGTTCAACTTTGAAGGTTTGTAGCTCAGGAATCTCTCGAGGTACTGGAACCAATTTAGAACAGTTTTGAAGAGAATTTAATCCTCTTTCTAATGATATATGATTCTAGCTAATTTGCTCAAATGTCATCGAAGATATGGCAATTGTTCATGAGCATGTCAAGATTTGAAAAAATGTCCAGAGTCAAAAATGAGATTTCCTTTTGGATTTTTTCTCAAGTCGAAATTTCTAAATCTAACTGATGTAAGAGTTGTTTCTGAATAATTTGGACTCGCTCTATAGATTTCCAAAGTCAAAATTGAGAAAAACTCAAAAATTAAAGTTTTCAATTTTTTGCACTTTTTCCCAAGGGTAGCCCCTTTGGATTTTTATTTTCAAATCTTCAAAGCTCGATATCTTGGTAACCAAAAGCGGTACCGACACAAAATTTTCACTGTTTGTAGCTCTTGATAAGGACTTTTAGATAGTATTTGGCTGAAATCGCTAGCTTTTATAGTTTTTGAGAAAATCGAGTTTGAAGTTTTGGACAAAATTTTGACTTAAGTTCAACTTTGAAGGTTTGTAGCTCAGGAACCTCTTGAGGCACTGGAACCAATTTAGCACGGTTTTGAAGAGAATTTGATGCTATTTCTAATGATATATGATTCCAGCTAATTTGCTCATATGTCATCGAAGATATGGGCAATTATTCATGAGAATGTCAAGATTTGAAAAGATGTCCAGAGTCAAAAATGAGATTTCCTTTAGAATTTTTTTTTTCTCGTCAAAGTTCCCAAATCTAACTGATGTGAGAGTTGTTTCTGACTAATTTGAACTCGCTCTATTGATTTCTGAAGTCAGAATTGAGAAAAATTCAAAAATAAAAATTTTCAATTTTTTGCACTTTTTCCCAAGGGTAACCCCCTTGGATTTTTATTTTCAAATCTTCAAAGCTCGATATCTTGGTAACCAAAAGCGGTACCGAGACAACATTTTCAGGGTTTGTAGCTCTTGATGAGGGCTTTCAGATGGTATTTGGCTGAAATCGCTAGCTTTTATAGTTTTTGAGAAAATCGAGTTTGAAGTTTTGGACAAAATTTTGACTAAAGTTCAACTTTGAAGTTCGATTGCTCATGAACCCGTTGAGGTACTGAAACCAATATAGTACAGTTTTGAAGAGAATTTAATGCTCTTTCGAATGATACATGATTGTAGCCAATTTGCTCAAATTCTATTGAAGATATGGGCAATTATTCATGAGCCTGTCAAGATTTCAAAAAATTTCCAGATCAAAAAATTGAGATTTCCTTTAAGATTTTTTTCTCTCATTATAATTCTCAAATCTAATTGATCTAAGAGTCGTTTCTGACTAATTTGAGCTCGCTCTATCGATTTCTGAAGTCAAAATTGAGAAAAACACGTAGCTCTTGATAAGGGCTTTTAGATGGTATTTGGCTGAAATCGCTAGCTTTGATAGTTTTTGAAAAAATCGAGTTTGAAGGTTTGGACAAAATTTTTACTAAAGTTCAACTTTGAAGTTCGATTGTTCATGAACCCATTGAAGTACTGAAACCAATATGGTACAGTTTTAAAGAGAATTTAATGCTTTTTCCAATGATACATAATTGTAGTTAATTTGCTCAAATATAATCAAAGAAATGAGCAATTATTCATGAGCGTGTCAAGATTTCAAAAAATTTCCAGAGACAAAAATTGAGATTTCCTTTAGGATGATGTTTTCTCTCATTATAATTCTCGAATCTAACTGATCTAAGAGTTGTTTCTGACTAATTTGAACTCGCTCTATCGATTTCTGAAGTCAGAATTGAGAAAAACTCAAAAATAATAATTTTCAATTTTTTCAATACACAAGCCATTATTCGCTTTTAGGCCTATAATGGTTATACCAAATATGTGATATATGTGAATTTATAACATCTTATGGACATCTTCAAAACATGGTCTTTTTTTGGTATTTGGACGTTCAGACGTAATGCAGACCTAAAAAGGACGTCTTTGTGTGCTGTCTGAATTGTTCTGAAATGGTTTTTGGATGTTTTAAATTGGTTCTAAAAGTGCTCTGGAGTACAATGTTCTAATTAATATTGTTTTAAGAGCGTTTCAAAATGTTATCTAAAGCTTAAACCTTTTGACAAAGCATCTGATCCTCAATACATTTTACATTGTTCACAAACGTGCCAAATATGAAAATATAAATTAATATTTTCGCTCCATTTGCAACATAATCTAAATTAACCAGGCACGCACTCAAACATCTAATTGCACACGAACGTAGAATGAATTTATTTAGTTTTTATTCTTCGGTTTGTATATAATTAAGGCCCGATTTTACCAATTAACCACGGGTGCAGCTGAAGACTATTAATATTGTCAGAGGCGCCCCGGACTTTTCTTAACAAGTACATTATTTGAACATTTAAAACCAATTTAGTTAAATCACCGGAAATGTATATTAAGTATTGTTGTATGGCAAAATATCACTGAAAACAATCCTTGCTTGATTTTTCAAATATCATTGTAATTGAGGATAGATAAGTCTTAAATTGACACATCTTCCTGCTTCATAAACTAAAAACCCTTTAAAAAAAAGCCTTAATGTCCCCTTTAAGCACTTATTTGTTTTCTTTAGATCTTTGAAAAAAAGAAAAAAAACCATTTTATTGTCTGAAAACACATGCATCCCATATGAGATGTATACGAAGACGGCTCTTTTGAAAATAATTAATTGTTCCAGTGGTGTAGACTTAAATAAGGCCTCTTTTTTTTCCAGATATTCCCGGCCAATGATGACAGCGGCCGGGACTTTTACCATAATAATAATGGTTGTAGGAGTCATGGGCAATTTACTTACTTTAGTTGCTTTGCTGAGACATTCCAAAATCAGAACTGTTGCGGCTGCATTTATTGCAAGGTAAGAAGATTCAATAATAATTCAAACGGTATAATATTAACAATCAAGGTTACAAATTTACAATCGTTTATTATGATGCATAAATTAGCCTTGAAGCGTCATCGCTTAATCATAATCAGTTCCGTGTAAACAGGTGGTACTATGGTACAGTCATTCATGTCTTTTCACTTATTAACACTTTGATGACTCCTACTTTAAAGGAATTTGAAAATTGTGATGTTTTTTTTTTTTCAGTCTTTGCCTCTCAGATTTACTCTTCTGCTTTTTGGTACTGCCGTTTTCTGCCAGCCAGTTTTTCCACGGTACCTGGATCCACGGTGATATGCTCTGCAAAATGATACCGACCCTGCGTTACGGTTCAATTGGGGTTTCGTTGCTCAGCATTGCCAGTATTTCAATTAACAGGTAAGATTTTTCAATTACCAACAAAAATATACTTATAGTTTTTCATTTTAGATATATTTTAATTGCTTGGCCTCAGCTGTATACGAAAATCTATACTAAAACTAAAGTGTTTTTGTATATTTCGCTTATTTGGTTGTTCAGCTACGGTTTGCAGATACCCACTTTGCTTGGTATATGGGGTGTTTATGGTATGGACGAAAGGTTGGGGACTTGTTCGATTAAACGAGACGAATATGGTAAGTAATGATTTTTACTTTGTATTCAGAAATCTACAATTTTTATTAAAATCTACTCAGAAATCAAGTTGTTGGTGAATTCTTGGCATTTGATGATCTTGTCAATTTCAATAATATATGGGTAGTTTTATTGATGAATTGATGAATCTCATCTTCTCATCTTCATCTGAGTGTTCATTGATGATTTTTTAATAATTGATGATTGATTATTCTATTTCTCAGCCCCAGATTCACTGAAAGTTCAAATTGTGATTATCACCAGCTCTTAATTTGTTGGGTAATTTTTAAAGAGCCAATCAAGAGCCAGTAATTATTCAGATTTCAATCATTACATTCTGGGTGTTTGATAACCGATGACCATGACCCTTTGGGCATCTTTGCATTCTTTCGTTCAACGATAATGAACCTTAGAAGCTTCTGAGCAAGTAGATCTGAAATAAGATCAGAAAATGTCAAGTTCAGAAGTCAAAACATCTTGATCTGCTGCTGAAGATGTTCAATATAAAACTGAAACAATGACTGAAAGTTGAAGAGAAAACCAACTAAACAATAAATGAATCAAGTTGAAGCAGAATCCTCATAATACTTGAAAGATAATTTAAATTAACAAAGTCAGACCAGTTTCGAAGCTCAGAAATTGAATATTTTTATTCATCTTGTTCATTGCTAGGTACGACATTATCTCAAATCAAACATGAAATTTTAAAACCTAGAAAGTCTGAACCAGTCTTTATCTCAATCATATCTCACCCATTACTTCAATCAGCTTCAAGGAGCTTGAAAATTCTACAATGAATAGATCTACAAAGTTATGGTCTTCTAATCTGGACCCAGAATCAAGACAATGATCAGCTTGAAATCATTCAATTTTATATTAAATCTGATAATTTTTTTCCAGGTAACTCCTCAAAAACCGCCCTCTTTGTAATCGGTTTCGCCCTACCATCAGTCATCATAGTTGCCTGCTACTCCAACATTTTCTGGGTCGTAAAAAGGTCGCACAAGCGACTAGCGCAGCACAGCTCCAACGGTGGCAAATTCAAAAGGAGCGAAATGAAAATCACTAAAATGGTTTTGGTTATTTTCATCTGCTTTGTGGTTTGCTATTTGCCGATTACTGTAGTGAAGATTTTTGACAATGAAGTTAGACACGCGCCCTTGCACGTTTTGGGGTATTTGCTTATATATTTGGCCAGTTGTGTTAATCCTGTTGTTTATGTGACGATGAACAGGCAATATAGGTAAGATGTTTTTCGTTTTTATTATTTTTATAATGTGGTTTTGGGTCTTGCTTGACCGCATTTTAGGAAAAAGTGTCTCAATAGATAAAGTCACATCCTGTTATGTTTGACGTCATTTTTGTGAGAATTTTTGTTGACTTAATGTGGTGTTTTTCAATTTAATACTCATTAAAAGATACATTTAGGGGCCAACAAGTTCTAGATTTTGATGTCATTGCTGAATCATGACTCTGATCAAGATCCTGTTCTTATTGATTGTTCTAGTTCAAAGGGAAATGTGATTTTCAAATATTTCATTTCAAAAAGCCATACTTTGGAAACGAGATAAGCTGTCGGCACGAAATTTGAATTAATGGTAGATCTCGATTAGGGCTTCAAAAAAGGTTATTTGGGGCACCGAGCCCTATAATAAAGGGAACTGTAGTGAAAGGTTCACAAGGGATGTGAATTAAAGGAACGAGTATTCTTCGGCTAATATCATAGACTAATGTATGTATTGTGTGTATTTACCTATATATTTTTTGACATCTATTAACATAACATAACATAATATAATGAGACAAGCAGGTGAGTTGATAGTTAAAACTCACTAGAAGAGGTGATTCCGTATATTTCAAACTTATTATAATACCCTTAATAGTTTGAAATATACCAGCAGTTTTATTCACCTAAAAACATAAAAACGAAAGATAGGTTCAACATAGCAACAAGCTTCTTCATAAAATCTAAGCTGTCTCTGCTTGTACAATACCTACCCAATAAATTCATAAATTTATAATGTTTAGTTGACTCCAAAGCTTTTGTTGAAATATTTGGTCGCTGGCATCTCACTCCACTCGATTCCAGATATTTAGCCTCTATTTTACCAGTTTCAAGGGATTCTCTAATAAAATGGCGACACACATCTATATGCTTGTAACGTTTATGAAAAACTGGATTGGACGAAAGCTTTAGTGCAGTAACATTATCAAAAAAAACAACTAATTCATGCCACAAATTTCTGAGGTAAATCGCCTCTTTTGCTGCTTGTGATAAGGACATATACTCGGCTTGTATGCTGGATAGAGGCACTAGTTTTCTGCTTGGTGCTCTCCCAAGAGATCAAAGAATTTGAAAAAGTGAAGCAAAAGACCTTCTGTTCACAATGTTGTTGCCCAATTAGCATCCACGTATCCCATTAAATTTCAGAAAATAATCTAGTCTTTTTAAGATAGGTACTTTAAAAGTCTTTTCGCATGCTACCAATGTGCATTTTCAAAACAGTTATTAAATTGACTCAAATAACTCACACTAAAAGAGATATGTCTATAGTCATTACACTTAAATACATGATACTGCCAATCAACTGCTGATATGGTACTGGAAAAGAACTTTCTTCACCTTTACTCAAATTATTAATTTTCTCCATAGGTGTCTCCACAGTTTTACACTTTGCCATATCGAACTTTGTTAACAATGACTCATTTCATTATACTGACTCTGATCTAAACTAAGAATTTTCTTTATCGATGCAGATAAGTATTCATTCCCAAAAGTTTCTTAGCTTCGCCTAAATCTTTCAACTGAAAATTGTTGCTCAATTCTTTTTTAAAATTTCCGTTTCTACTTTATCATTAGAAAAAATCGACGTATAAAGCGATCACTGTTATAAAGTCATTTCTGTTTTTTTATAAAAACACAAGGTTCAAACTTGGACTTTGCATACTTACGGTTAGTCAATACTACTTGGACCTTTTTATACCAAACTCTGGATAATTGTTTGAGACCATAAATTACTCTATTGAGCTTTAAAGCTTTGCTTTCACAACCCTGATTTATAAAAGCCTCTGGTTGCTTCATATAAATAGTCTCCTCTAATTCCCCATGCAAAAAAGCTGTGGTGACCTCTAAATGAGAAATATCCAGTCCTATATTAACGCTTAATGGAATCAGAAAACAGAGTGTGGAATATCTTACAACAGGTGAGAATGTTTCATGAAAATCCACTCCTTCTTTCTGGGTGAAGCCCTTACCTACTAGCCTAGCACGATAGGTCTTGTTAATATCCTTATTAATCTTAATCTTATACACCCACTTACATTGAACTACTGCACTTTTCACTGGCGCATCTACCATTTCCCAAGTCTCATTTTGCACTAAACACTTATAGTCATGCTGCATAGCCACCTTCTAACAACTATAATCTGGTCTTGACAATGCCTCTGCCATTATCACAGGAACCTCTTCTGGTAAGTAAGCAGCACTTTGACAGTCAGTATTCATATATGTAACGTAGTCAGTGAACCGCTTTTCTCGCCTTGTCCTCTGAGATTTTCTCACAACTTCTTGATCAACATCATTCATCTTTGACAAATCTGGCACATAGTCACTAGATGAGTTGGAAACTGTGCATCGGGTAGATAGACTCTCAAAAGTCAAATGAACCAGCGGAGCTATTCTCTTTGTTATGCAAAGATTTGTCACTATCCTGCTCCAAATTTTGCTCACTCAACCCCACTGGAACTGATTCCTCCTCTATCACTTCACGGCTGATATCCATCTTGTTGGTTTTCAGGTTTTCATGTATAATGACATTTCTACATGTCACATCATCAGTATCTGGGTTGTAAATCCATCCAATAACCTTTGATATGATCTAAAAGTCAACTAAAATATGTTTGTAAGATTTTTTTATCAAATTTCAAGCGGAATATGAGCCATAACTGTATTTCCAAAAACACGTAATTCTGAAACATCAGGTTTCTCACCAGTCCACAACTCAAAAGGTGTTTTTCCATTCAGGCCACTGGTGATGCATCTATTTCTTAAATAATTAGACGTAGTGATGGCCTCCTCCCAAAACCTTCTGTGCAAACCTACATCGAACAGTGTACGGTTGTGTCTTTCTGAAAGACCATTTTACTCAGGGGTGTAAGCATTTGTCTTCTCTTTTACAATGCCTTCTGCCCTGAAAAAGCTGTCAAATTTATCACTTCAAAACTCACCACCTTGGTCACTGCGAAAAACTTTCATACTTCTGCCTTGTTGTTTTTCTACCATGGCTTTAAACTGCTTGAAGTACCTATAGACTCCAATTTTTGCCTTTAAAAAATACATAAAAGACATATTTATCGGCTGTGAGGTTTAACTTATATACTCCGCCAATTAAATTTGCTGTCGCCACCAATTTGTTCCTCCTACTGTATATCGAACAACTATGGTGGGTAAATGATATACGATTTCCCTTTGAAATAAGCTCAATTATTGAGAAGAGATTTGTTGTGAGATTGGGCACATGTAACACATCGTAAACGGTTATATGTATATTATGGTGCTGTTCAATCACACTACTAATAATATCCTACGTCCTCGTAAAGATTCTTGATTCTATCCCAGGCTTCCTTGCATGCGTGGTCGCGCCCTTTACATTCACATGTAAGGAAGGGTCTAAAGTCAACAAGAATTTGGCTTTAGCTTTTGCCACAAGAGAACTGTCCTTCTCGGAGAAAGACCCTTACAAACCCTCTAATTCTCCCAGGCCTTCAAAAAGAACACTATATTTTTTTAAAATTTGCACCAAATGTAGTTTACTATCCAAGGTATGTACTTTTTTACCTTGCGTTCGGTATTTTGCTCGAAGAGCAGAGCGTGCAGAGCGGAGCCGTAATCACGTGACCAGCGAGCGAACAGAGCAGTTGAACGCTGTATAAAAGTGCCAGAAATTTTAATAAACGAACGCGAATGAGGATACACCGAGTACACTTTTTGAATAAACGAACGGTAAAGTCAAGCTCGGAGAACTCAGACCAAAATAACGAACGCACGGTTAATCAGATTTAACTTTTCGATGCATGGAAGTCCTATGATGCAAGGTGCATCCAAATTTACTTTCTGAAAGTCCAAGCTGTGCTTAACTCTATTAATTTCACATATTATTGTGGTTTTTCCAGACACAATAATTTTCGAACCATTATATCCTTTAAGCTTCACAAGTCTTAAGTGTATAGCCAAACCTCTGGATGTCTTCATATTAAGAACATTAAAATCGGCTCCTGTATCCACTTTACACACGACCTCCTTTCCGTTTATTTTAATTTCCTGTAGCCATTCCTTAATACTAGCTATATATTTTGTTTCATTGGTGCCTAATTGCTCTTACAAAGAAATCAGTCTCTTCACTCTGAATAGTTCTCCACTTCATTTGTCACTCTCTTGACTTTTTAACACACGTACATTTCTTCTTTTTGGACACATTTTTTCGAAATGTTTGTAATCATTGCAGTTTCTACACTTTTTTTGGTACGCCGGGCATTTGGTACCATGAATCCAATCACATGACTTCTCTAAATTCTTTTTGATCACTTTGTTTTTCCCATTTTTCGTCTTCTTTTTTTGTTTTCTTTCCATCTATTTGTCTACGGACAGCATGGACTTCCGTAAACGCTTCTTGGTTTAACTGCTTTGATCTCATCCCCAGCTAATTCAACAACCTTGCAAATGGAGACACACTTGGTTTAATCTAAACTTGCCTCACGTAGTAAAAAATCTTTAACTCTGTTGTCTGAAATTCCACATACTACTCTGTCTCTTATAAGACTGTCTCGGAGATCTCTAAAGTTGGAATTCATGCTTAACTTCTTCAAATAAACATATCAACGGATATCCCCTTTTTTCGTTTCCTACTATGAAACAAGTGCCTATTTATTGTTACATTCTCTTTTGGGCTTGAAATGATTTCCCGAGTGCTACATAACTCTGTCCTATTTTTTCCTATCCTTCTCAGGAACCTGTAACGTTTTATAAATGCCTTGTCCCTCTGGTTCCAGGCAATGCAACAAAATAGCAACTTTCCTTTCGTCTGTCATTTTTGTATTGTCCAGGATGCCACTGGCCAGAAAATAAATTTCAAATTGTTGTTTCCACTTTTGAAAATTAATAGCCACATCCCAATGACATATTAAAACAGTAGACCTTACAGTGAACAAAATTTTGTGCCGCCAGCATAGGAGAGCAATCCAACACCGGTGTATCCCGTCCAATTTGGTTGCTAAATTATTACGGATTGATATTTTATCCTGTTATGACTTTGCTTCAAAAAGTTCTTCAAGGAACTTCAAGACTAAAAGGAATGTATCTTCCTTCAATAAAAAGTCGTTATCTGAAGATGAACTAGACATCTTTGTAGTATGGGAGTTGCGTCTATAAACTGGCCGAAAACCGGCATTCTTTGTGTACTAATGTGAAGACTTGTAGCCGCTGATTAACCTGCTTTCTTTGTGGGCGTACCCTAAAACAGGCGGGTCGAATGTCTTACAACTGGATAGAGGTCTCATCAAAGTCTATTCCATATTTCTACGTGAAATCTTTTGTTCCCAATCTTGCTTTAAATCTAACATTATTTTCTGCATCTATTTTTTTTACGAATTTTCCACTTACACTGAACTACAGACACTTTACGATCTTGTGGAACATCCACCACTTCCCACATACTATTCTCATGAAATGCATTAATTTCTTCCGCCACTGAGCTGAATCTGCTCTGGACATCGCTTCTTTTACACTTTGAGGATCATGTTCCAAACTGGAATTGGTACACATATGTAGGATACAAAATCGTCGAAGTGTTTTGGTTTAGGTACTCGCTGTGATCGCTTGGTTGGTAAGACCTTTATCTCTGGTTCACTGTTTTCTTCATCCAACACGTCACTGTCACTATTTTGAATGTCTTCATCGGATATACTGTTATAATTGGTTGTAGAATTATTATTGTTACTCGAATTTCCAGGTTCTTCTTCATTTTTTATGGTAGGGATAGGAATTGACTCATATTGGACTTGTGTTTGATCCCCCACTGGAACTAGTACCTCATCTGTAACCTTTTGCTGTTCTGTAGCATTATCTTTGTAATTTTCCAATACTCACACATCTCTGCTGACAGATACTTTATTTGTTACAGGATCATAAACCCTATATCCCTTCACATTTTCACTGTAACCCATCAAAATCTTCTTTTCTGCTTTCTTGTCCCATTTCAATCGTTTCTTTTTCGGTATATGCACCATAACTGTGCTGCCGAAGATTCTCATATGGTTTACTGTTGGCTTTTCATTATACCAAATTTAAAAAAGTGTTTTATCATCAGGCAAACTAGACGCACGTGATCTGTTTCTGAAATTTCATTGGTAATAATGCATTTTTGGAATAACTTTGTTAGGTGTTCGTATAGTGCTTGTGTTCCAAACTTTAATAATTCGGCTGGTATGTTACCCGATCCGGGAGCTTTTGCATGCGTCTTTGACTTCTTTTATGGATATTCTGATGGGTGAGGCTGAAACAGATATGTTATTTCCGTTCCGTTCGAGTTCCCTATATTTATCTCGATTTTCTAGCAGAAGTTCCCTGAAGTATTTGTCCCATTTTTGTATTGAAATAGATATTATATCTGTCTTTTTCTCTTGACGTAGTGACTAATATTTTCCAGCTTTCTGTGTTTTTTCTTCCTCCAAGGTATGTTTGTATTGTTATACATCTTCTTTTCCAAGATTCATTTTTCTTTTGTGTGATCTTTCTCCTGACTTTTGCTGAGCTGAGTCAATAGTAAGAATATTAAAGTTCTTGCGCTTTATGTACACATTCAATGCTCTAGGGTCCATGCAAATTTTGATAATACTATTTTGGCACTATGACAATTGGGTGCACCCAGCTTGTTGGTTCAGTAATGGGTACCTACTATAAGTTTTTCACTTACCATTTGATGCAGCTTTTGTTTTACCTTATCCATGAGTGATAGTGGAAGCTTACGTGCAGCACATACTCTAGGCTCAAAACTGCCTGTTAATGTTATTTTATAGTTTTTGTTAACTTTTCCAATTCCACTTAAATAGCTATCTACCTAAGTAGTATGGAAAATGAGTTTTTTCCGTACGAGTCTGTCGTTCACTGGCAGCCGAGTGCGGAAAAAACATTTTCCGCAAGTGTTATGTACAATAGTTTTTCTACAGACGTGCGGAAATAAGTATGTACCTACATAATTTGTAGTAATTTATTAATTTTGTTTTTGACACTAGTGCGAGAAGACTAATTTTCCGCACGGATATCAGCTGTAGAAAAACACTGCTATATGTCAAGAATTTGTTTCAGATTTCCTTGTTTGAATACTTCATTCGGGGAGGTAATTTCACAAGTATGGTATTCACAATTTTCAAAAGTTTCGCAGCCTCCAACCCTAGGATAGAAGGAACTGATTGCCCACTGTATAATACATGAAACGAAGTTCTGGATGACTGGCGAAATCACAGAGCAAATTTATTTGGCCTAAAGTATCTATCTTGTGTCCCGTATATGACAGCAAAACAGATGTTTAAAATGTCACTAAATTTTATTTTTACTATCTTAAAGTTAAGTTGACTTCCAGTATCCATTTTTAGACTTATTTAACACTGTTCAATACTTAAAGTTTCAAACCATTCCACTGGTATTCACCTTATGGTTTATTACAGTCCAAACCACATCATCACTAGCTGAGGAATCGAATTTTTCACTGTCTGAGTCTGTGTCATAAGTATCACTTTCAGACACGGTTATATGCTGGACATTGTCTTTTTGCATGCCCTGATCCACACTTGGAACACGTTTTGATCCTGAAATGGTTTCCAAAGTTAGATGGACCAGCTTTTTCTTGAGACTGCTGAGCATACCCAGGTCTTGATGATTTGTTATATTGACCTTCAGATTTTCCTGACCTTTGTTTATACTTCCTGAATTTCACAGCGTAAACAGCTTGATTTTGAGTAGCTACACTAGCTTCCATTGATCGACAAATCTTTTCCTACAAAAGTCTTTCCTGGATTCTGCTATCTTTAATACCCAATAGAAGTCTATCTCGGATCAACACATCAGTTTCCTTGAATTCACAAGTTGAAGCAAGTTGTCTCAGGGCTGTGACAAATTGGTCTACAGTCTCTGTTTGTTGTTGGTCCCTTCTAAAGAACTTGAAGTGTTCGTAGACAAGGTTTTCAACAGGGTTACAATAGCCATCAAACTTTTCCAAAACAGTGAAAAGCTTAGTTTTATCCTCTGTTACAGATTATTGAAAATATTATAAATTTGGAGTCCCTGATCTCCAATCAAATTAAGTAAGAATGGAATTTTTACAAAAACGCAAAACTTTGTTACATAATATGGTTTACTTATATCAATGTGATATAAATTTTACACCCACTAAAAATCTAAATAAACATTATTTTTGTTCCAGGTACGCCTATTTGGAAACTCTGAAATGCAACTACAACAGCAATTTAGATTCTGGGACGCCAGGAAACACGCCGACCAAAACTCAGGGAATGTCGGTACAATATATGAAAAATATCGTCAATACCTAATTGTCCAAAATGCAGTGTAACCTTACTCACCATATTTATTATTTTGCCATTTTTGATGAGTAAGTTTACACCAGAATTGCCAATTAGATTTAAACTTTAAACCAAAGAAATAATAAAAGTTTTGGATTAAATGCAGCCATATTGTTCATATTGTGATAATTTGTTCTACTGTTTTTCTACTTAAATTTAAGTTTTGTCTCAAGAGTGTTTATGCAAAATAGATTGAACACTCTTAAAGGGTAAATTTGCTCCAAAGAATATTTTGTACAGTACAAACTATTAGCTGATAAGGAATTGGGGGCCTTACATTAAGGTTGTAAATATTGTAAATATGTTTTTCTTGTATATAAGTTATTATTATTGTTACCACATTTTTTTGTACTCTTTTAGGATCAATTAAATTGTTCCTATTTTGAATGTTTGACTTTTTTTCTTTTTATCCTCTACTACAAGTCTCCATTATCCCGGGGTTTACTCATCAATGGCTAAAAATATATGCCAAATATACCCGACCCTCCCCCCGAACCAATTCAACCCAGTTTTTCCGTCCCTTCGGAAAATACGGAGGCGCATGTCGGTGACGTCAATACGCCTCCACAATTCAGTCTGACGACAGAAATGGAACGGGGATGTCTTACGAATAGCCCTTTTGGCACACGAAAACCGTTTTGTCCTCGAACGACGATTTTTCGGGACGACGATGAGTGTTTCCGTGCCTCAGAACAATTACTAGTGTTTTTGTTTCTAGTATTTCAATGATTTTTTGATAAGGGTAAGTTTTCAATAATAATTAATTGAGAAAAAGTTTTGTATATAATGTGTGTTTTTTTTTGGTGGCTGGACAAGTTGTCACAGTTACGTAACGTCAAAGACGTCATCCGAAGGTCGATCCTTTATTGTGACGTCGAAATATTGAGGAAGATTTTTCGCAGTCACAAATGCACTGACTTGCTTTATACATTTTTGATTTTTTGCTGCTCAAATTTTTGCATAATTTATAATACTATGACACACACACACATCAAATACTGTCTTCTTTTATTAAACTTGAGGCAAACAATCAAAACATAAATCTTGTGTTAACTATTTCTTAGCGTGTCGAGATAAGGCTTGATGTATTTCGTTTATAATCCGTGTCAACACATTTTTTCGAAATCCGAAAGGGAAATCGTAAATATTGCCCTTTTTGCATACGCCACTATTTATTTCGATCGAAATCTAGAGTGGCCGGCCCCCCCGACTCGATTTATGAGGGTAATTTCCGAGCCATTATGACACACAACGGTGTTTATTTTAATCTCGTATGTTTTGTGTTTGTTTCGGACTAGACTGGTTTTTTTTATTTATGTAATTAATCGGCCTTGTTGTGGATTGAACGTTCATTCAGGGAATCATATAGTTACTACTGTCTAATATCATTTCCAAGTGTTCTTACTCTTTAATTTCTGTTCTAATTCTATTTTGAATCTACTAGAATTGCTGATATTTTTCAAAGGTTCATGTTTTGATCATTCCCGGCTCTTGATTCGAATCAAGAGCCTGGTGATTAATTGCAACTCTTTCACAATAAATCCACCAATTATTTCTCGATGTTTAATCTATCTATTTATCTATCTATTCGGCCTTCTTCAGTCAATCTTTGGACGTAGGCCTCCCCCAGTCTTCTCCATTTCTCTCTGTCTGTTGCTATGTCCACCCACCTGGTTCCAGCGTGCTTCTTCAGGTCATCAGCATACCTCATCTGAAGTCTTCCTCTACTTTTTTTTATTCTCCTAAGGTCTCCAGCTTAAGATACATTTATTCCATCGGTCATCTTTTTGTCTGATATTGTGACCTGCGAATTTCCATTTTAATTTTGCTACATGCACATGTAACATTTGTCTTTCCATTGATCTTTGTGCTTTTGTTATTTTATCCATGTTTGACTTTGTGTGTCCATGTTTGGGATCCATTATAGGTGAGAACAGGAAGTATACCTTGATCATATACTTTGGTTTTGAGGTATTGTGGATATTTTCTATTTTTCAAGATGTAGCTTAATTTGCCAAATGCTGCCCAAGCTAATCTAACTTGTCTCTTGATTTCTGCTGGTTGGTTTTCTTTGTTGAGTTTAATAATCTGTCCTAGATATAATATATATTCGTCTACTTGTTCTATTTTTTCCTGTCCTATTCTGATTGTGATGTCATCGTCTGTGTTCGTTATTGTTTTAGTTTTAGCGTTCATATTGAGACCTATGTTTTTAGCTGCTGTTTCCATCAGTTCTTCTTTCTTAGCAGTTATCAGGGCGATATCATCAACGTATCTTAAGTTGCTTAAGTGTTGTCCGCATATTTTTATACGTTTTTCTTCCCAGTATAGTTTTCTAAAAACATCTTCCAGGACCTGGTTAAAAGGTTTGGGTGATATTGTGTCGCAGTGTCTGTGATTATGTTCCCTCTTCTTCTTCTTTGCAAAAGCCTTAAGGCTTGTTTTACCCATTTATTTGTCCCTCCTGGGATGCCGACGACTAGCTGTCCTTCCACCTCTTGGGAGGCCGTCCTAGTGATCTGCTGGATGCTGGTTTTTCGTTTCTGGCGATTTTTGCTAGTCTATGGTTTTCTATCCTGGATATGTGCTTGTTCCAGAAGTGTCTCCTAGCGCGTGTCCATCTAACCACGTCCTCTATCTTGCACTCTTCCCTGATTCCGTTACTTCTTCTTTGATCCCAAAGTGTGTTCCCTGTAATCGATCTTAGTATTCTCATTTCATTGGTTCGTGCCATCCTTTTTGTTTCCGCTATGTCAGTTCGTATTTCTGCCGTGTATGTCATTACGGACCTGACACATGCTTTATACAGGGTGGGGCACGAAAAACTTCTCACCCAGGTTTTCTCAGGTGTTAGGTGATTAATAGAAAATCGCTCGAACACGTCATTTTTTGTTTTTTGGGTGACATCTTCTATTGGTATGTTCATCCCCTACCTGTCAACCCCTAAGCAGGGATGACAGGTACCCCCAAAATTTCAATAGAAAAGGGGGGTCGAGTAATACGTCATTCGATAGCTATTTTTATTAAGATTATATTCCCAAAGTTTCAAGTTGCTACTGTTTACCCTGTCGAAATGACGGCTTGTCAAATTGTGTGTTTTTTTACCTTATAATAACAAAACAACAGATTTTTCAAGGGAATAAACGCGAACCATTTTAAGCTGAACTGTTGAATGACAATACTTTAATTAAATACCAATGGTATTTCATTACTATGGATATATACGCTTAAAAAATCTGTTGTTTTGTTATTATGTGAGTGAAACCACACAGTTCAGATACTCGGAAAAAAGCATTTTTCCTAACTTTCAAAAGCCACCATTTCGGCAGGGTAAATGGTAGCAACTTTAAACTTGAGGGATATAAATATCTACCAAATGACGTATCACTCGACCCTTCTTCCTATTCAAATTTTGGGGGTATCTGTCACTACCGTTTAGGGGTTGACAGGTAGTGGGCAAAAATACCAAAAAAATGTGTCCCCCAAAAAAACAAAAATTGACGTGTCCGAGCGATTTTTGATTAAACACCTAACACCTGAGAAAACCTAGGTGGGAAGTTTTTCGTGCCCCACCCTGTATATTCTAACTTTGGTCGGGGTTGATATGCATGTGGTTGTTCGTAAGGTTCCTGCTATCCTGGCTGCCTTGGCGTAACATATTATTTTAATTTGTTGGTTTCGTATCTTGTATCCCTGGTCTATCTTGCACACTATTATTCTGTCCATTATGATGTTGAACCATAGGCGTCGGCTTCCTGAAATCTATATGGGTGCTTAGCCAAAGACGGCATAAAATAGCTAAAGTTTTTTTTTCTGGTGCCACTCCCAAAAATGAAAAAGCTTTCGAACACTTAATAGTACCCAGTACATCGGCCCTAGAACTTTTAAACTTTCTAACTCATGTAGGTACACGCCAAACTTCCTAGGTCCTGATTCTCGTCTCAGGGAAAGGAGAGCTCCCCGAGAGAACAAATTTTTCGTCTTTATCATTCTCGTTCACTTTCCGATTACGTTGACAAGGACAAAAAATTTGTTCTCTCGGGGAGCTTACTCCCAGGGTCCTTATTTTTGAAACAGGGGAGCAGCATTCCCAGGGGAACGAGTGTTCTGTCTTTCTGAATTATATGGAAATGATAATATAAGCAACAAAGACGAAACACTCGTTCTCCTGGGAACGCTGCTCCCTTGTTTCAAGAATAAGGACCCTGGGGACAGGAATCGGGCCGCTGAGCGGCTTCATAACGTCAAGTCCGACGCTCCCAACATGTTCTTGTGACGTCATTTTGGAGGCGTCGACCCTCCCACCCCCAATGCCACGAGATTTTTGTCCGATAAATGTGTTATCTAATATAGCACAAAAAACAGTCGATGGAAGTTGAAACTACACGTACATGTATCACCGTTCTCAGGGACGTAAGAATGACAACTTCACGAAGAGCTAGCACAACAAGTGTCTTATCATCGCCTGGGTTGAAGATATGAAAAAAAATTGTCCGACTTGGTGTTATGAGGCTCAGGAAGTTTGGCGTGTACATGAGTTACGAAATTTTGAGGTCGATGTACTAGGGACTATAAACTACCCAAAAATCTATAGAAAAATTTCCTTTATCAAACTATTTAATTATTATCTGAACTGACTGGGGACTGGGATTCCAAGGAATGTGAAGTTCGCGAAACATAACATCGCACCCATCGCCATTAAATGGCCACTCGACTCGTTGATTGAATCTCTTGGATCGGACCCAAGAATATTACCTATACCAGGATTGTTCAGCTATCGGTATTTTTCGGATCAAGGTCATAATGGGCGTTTCGGAAACGGTGATCCGATTAACCCGAATCTAGGAAATAAAACTCCCGGAATAGAAACCCCTGGCAAAAAAAAAAACCCACTGGATAAAAAACCCCCTAGAAAAAAAAACCCCCGGAATAAAAACCCCCCAATTTATGGAAAAAAAAAGTATATACATGGGATAATATAGCATTTAAAAAACTAGCTATATCCCTTTCCTGGTTATTATACTGCTAGCACAATAGTTTCAATCGATCTTGCAGTATCTGGTAGGTGGCCCGTTTTTTCCTTTGCTCTGGCTCTAATTACACGTTTTGCTGAATCCACAGCTAGTTCCACCCTCATCTTCTGTATTAACATCCACACAGACGGGTAATCCTGACCAACAAGGTTGGAAAATCTATTGTTTCATCCCTCTTTGTTCGGTTGTTAGTTCTGTCTTCATCAGATAAGGTAGCATTATGTAGCATCTACGGGTAGAAAGGCCAGCCCATCCAGTTTTCCGCAAAAATCATTCAGGTTTGGATTTTCCATATAGGTTTTTTGAAAACCCAATTCTTGCACTTTTCTAAAAGTATTCTGGCAGAGATGGTAAAAGCAGCCCCTTATACAAGTTCCCCCAGTATCCTAGTTGCTGCCTGCATAGCTGCCTTCTCAAAGTCCATGTATAGATTTGCTGGATCGGGAAACAAGTCACGATGGGCACATTCCTCGATTAACGTTTGTAGGATATTCTCATTTCCAGCATACAGTAAGCTACTGTTATGATGATGCCAGAAGGTGCTACAGGAGCCCTTATGACGTAGAGCTGCTTAAAAAATCGAGGTGCCAGTGAAAAGTTTCTATCAAGGTACCACGTAGTTGCTGCAGCTAAATACCTTAAACACTACCTTATCATCCGCAAAAATCAGTATTCTTTCTTCGGCGTCGCAAAATAAAGCTCTACAGGATAATGCCCTCTCAGTAAGTAGAATTTCTACTCAGAAAAGGCCTAAATCACGAAGCGTGGGTAATCAATCAACGAAAACTTATCCACAATGTGATCGATGCGGTAAAAAACCAAGTCATAGGTTGAAAGAATGCCCTGCATTAAATGAACGCTGTCAAAAATGCTCAATGAAAGGTCACTACAGTAAAATGTGTAAAACGCAGTTATTGACGACTCCTCCGACTCATCCGAAGACTCTGAAGTTGGCGAAATAGTCGGAGAAATACGGAGTGGCTCGAATATTGCATGGAAAATAGCACTTCCTGCAAGTTCCTGAGGAAGAAATATCTTTCAAGATTGACACAGGTGCTGATGTAACAGTTTTGAGTAAGACATCGTATGATGAGCTAAAAGAAAACCAACACTGAAACGTACTAAAGTAAAATTGAAGGGTCCAGGAGGATGTCCATTAAATGTTATTGGAAAATGTACACTCCAGATCAGTTATAAGCGTGAAAATAACAATATGAAAATCATGAATATTTACTTGGCAGACCTGCAATATTTGAACTTGTCAAAACTGATTAATAGCATCAATGCCCAGAAAACTGTTAGTACTGAAAAACTATGTTTGAGAAAAATTACAAAATATTTCCCAAAACTTTTCAACTGAATTGGAAAATTAAAAGACTATGAATCTATCTATCTATCTATTCAGCCTTCTTCAGTCCATCTTTGGACAGAGGCCTCCCCCAGTCTTCTCCATTCTTGCCATGTTCATCCACCTCATCTGGGGTCTTCCTCTACTTCTTTTATTCTCCCAAGGTCTCCAGCTTAAGATACATTTATTCCATCGGTCGTCTTTTTGTCTGATATTGTGACCTGCGAATTTCCATTTCAATTTTGCTACCTCCTTTCTAACGTCTCTTACTCTCGTTTTATTTCTTATCCACTCGTTCCTCTTTTTATCTATCAGTTTCACATGTAACATTTGTCTTTCCATTGATCTTTGTGCTTTTGTTATTTTATTTATGTTTGACTTTGTAAGTGTCCATGTTTGGGATCCATAGGTGAAAACAGGAAGTATACATTGATTATAAACTTTGGTTTTGAGGTGGATATTTTCTATTTTTCAAGATATAGCTTAATTTGCCGAATACTGCCCAAGCTTATCTAACTCGTCTCTTGATTTCTATTGTTTGGTTTTCTTTGTTGAGTTTAATAATCTGTCCTAGATATATATATTCGTCGACTTGTTCTATTTTTTCCTGTCCTATTCTGATTACGATGTCATCGTCTGTGTTCATTATTATTTTAATTTTAGCGTAGTTCATATTGAGACCTATGTTTTTAGTTGCTGTGTCAAATTCTCCCAGCATTTCCGTCAGTTCTTCTTGCCTATCAGTTATTAGGGCGATATCATCCCCATATCTTAAGTTGCTCAAGTGTTGTCCGCATATTTTTATACCTTTGTTTTCCCAATCTAGTTTTTTCCAGGATCTGGTTGAAAAATTTAAGTGATATTGTGTCGCCCTGTCTGATTTAACTGATTTTCTTCAAAGGTTCAAGTTTTGATTATTCCCGGCTCTTGATTCTAATCACAAGCCAACAATAATGACTTGATTAATTGATTTTTTAATGAAGCAACTCTTGGCATCATTGATCCATAACGAAAAGTGTTTCGACCAATCAAAAGCCAGTAATAATCACAATGTGAACTATTACCGGCTCTTGATTGGTTCTGGAAAAATTATCCAACGAATCAAGAGCTGGTAATAATCACAATTTGAACTTTCAGAGCTCTTGATTTCCCTGGAAAAGTGTTTCAGCGAATCAAGAGCCAGTAATAATCAAAAATTGAGCTATCAACTCTTAATTCGAATCAAGAGCCGGGAATAATCACTCAATTTACCTTTGAAATTTTGAAGTTTGAGGCTTCAGAGCTTGAAATTTAAACCTTCAAATTCCAGACTCTTGATGAAATCTAGATAAACACTGTAAACACACCAAATATTTGTCTATAGAAATCTTAAAAATCCAAAAATATTGCTCATACAAATCCAAAACCTTTCAATTATGACCAAAGATAGATATTATGGAGATAAAATCTTGAATGTTATCAATACAAATGGCTTTACACAAATTATCAATTCTCCAACGAAAATAACTCACAGAAGTCAAACCTTGATTGATTTGATTGTTACCAATGACAAGTATCTAAGGTGTGCAGTACATTTAACCCCTAAAATAAGTGATCATTGTATTCTCCGTTCACAATCCGATGTCCACAGGTACAGGTAAAATTTATCACCTTTCAATACTATTTGAAAGAGAAAGGTGATAAATTTACCTGCACCTGTGGACATCGGCTTGTGAACAGGATATATATTTTCAATTAATCTCGATAGAGCTGCAGATCCTTAGCCTTCTCAAATAACAATATTCAAAAGATGCATGAAAGACTACAACACAGATTACCTTTAGAATACACTGTTGAATACAAATTATAAGGCTTAATGCAAAGCTCAATTCCTAGAATTTAGAGATAGGAAAGAACTGGAAGTCGGGTTTTAAAGTGAGGGAACTGTAGAGGGTGCCAGCTTTTAGACATGGAGACAGGCATGGGTTAAGTTCTTGGTTTGAGCGCCACGTGATTATCAAATAGCACTACAGCCCCTAGATAAAAGTTAAAGAAAAAAAACTAGACATTAACCACGAAATATTCTTGCATCCAGCAATTATATTTGACAGGTTTAGGAATCAACTAGGCCTAAGGTTTTGTCTTTTGCTTTACTGTCTACTGAAGAATTTCCACACGAATGGAAGACATCAACAGTCACTCCGGTTCCAAAGGTTCCAGGCACCAACAACTATACAGATTCCAGATGCATTAAAACTAACCAATTTATGAGAAAGTGCTAAAACTTGTGGTCAAAAAATTCATTTGATTAACTAATCTTTTTCAAAGGTTCAAGACATAATTATTCCGGCTCTTGATTCGAATCAAGAGCCGGGAATAATCACTTAATTTCTTTGAAGTTTTCTAGTTTGAGGCTTCAGAGCTTGAAATTTAAACCTTCAAATTCCAGAGATGCATATTCTAGATAAACACACGAAATATTTGTCTATAGAAATCTTAAAAAACTGAAAATATTGCTCACACAAATCCAATAGCTTTGAATTATGACTTAAGATGGAACCGTTTGGGAAGTTTCTACCTTCAGCGAAGAAAGTGTAAATAAAGTTTATGACTGAAGTTTGAAATAAAATTCGTGTGGGGAAATTATTAGGGAAATTTACATATTATAATCTAAAGAAAGCTTTGAAAAATTAGCCTTGACGCTTCAAAATCTTCACTTTTTAGAGCCTCAAAGTTTAAGTTGCGCTTCAAAGTACTCAGCATTGAGTCAAAAGCCTAGGATCTTTATAGTTTTGTACAAGTATTTTTACAACTTCATCTTAATACATAATGAACCATGTTCAAAAAGTCTCAAATCCTTACTCATCATATTTCAACTTTGAGCATGATTAAGATGCAAACCAAAAATACAACTTCAAGATGTTTGTCCTCGCGAAAACCCCCCATCACGTGCATTAAATTCTCCCAAGAAAGAAAAGAAAAAAAGATCCGTGAAACAGAATGTCCTATATTGATCGTACGCGCATCGCGTCTCTCTCCCGCCCCTTTCACCGAATTCATTCACAAAAGCCCCTTGATATAATCCATATTCTCTCTGTCCTATTTTAAGCTCTGATGTGCATGGCCACCTTTTTCAAATAACAATTGGAGTTTTTTTCGATTTGCCAAAGCAAAACATCTATAACGTGGGAGTAAAAGTTGAAATGTTTTGAGAAAAATGCGAGGGTAGATTAATATCGATATACGATGACATCCCTATATGATGAGAAGCAAATTTACTACAGCAAACCTTATTCCTTTTGAAATTGGGTCATATCGAATCTTGTTATTAATATCGATGGCGCACCACCGCGGTGCAATTTCTCGTATACAGAAATTAAATTCAGGCCCAATTTTAAAATCGATCTTGCCAGTTCGATGAACCAGGTTGCCGCAAGGAGTGAGCTCATTTTACCATACAAGAAAATTGTCTTGAATTTCTATGGTTTATGGCAAATTGATTTTGATTTCCAAAGCGCAAAACATAATGCAAGTAACTTGAAGTTGAAGTTGCTCTTATACAAATGTATAACTTTATGTGGTATGATAAGCCATTTATTGTTTTAGTCGAAAATATGGCTGTAAATGAACGAGTATCGCGCAGTTTCGCTTTGGAACAGACGTACGTGCACGAAGTTTACGAACAGTACCACGACAATCCCCGTAGCAAACCCTGGCCGAAGGTCCAGGAGTTTTTGGAAAAATTAGAACCCGGAGCTTTAGTTTGTGACGTAGGTAAGAAATTTCTACAACTGTGAAATAGGGAGTTTTATTAACTCATTTTTCTTTCAGGCTGTGGTAATGGAAAATATTTAAAAGTAAATATGTCAATTTATAATTTAGGAGGGGAGAAATCAATTAGACTGAGTGACTTAGCTAGGCAAAAACAAAACGAAGTAAGTACCAGGATTTTAATGTTTGAATAGTTATATGTAAGTCTTCTAAGCTCTAGTCTATTTCTTGTTAATTACTTTTCTTTTCATGATAAAACATCTTTTCCAAGCTGAAAAGCAATAGTAAATATTTACTCTAATGATGGGTTTTTAGAATTCAAAGGGCTTGTAACACACCAGTGACGTGTGTTACCAACTTTGAGAATCTTTTCTTAGTTTTTTTTTTCTTTTAGATAGTTAAACAATAGATGTATGTACCTAAACTAAACAGATGGAAAGCTATGCGGGTCATCACAAAATTTTTACAAAAGTTCAAATTTGGAGTTCGATTGCTCATGAACCCGTTGAGGTGCTGGAACCAATATGGTATAGTTTTGAAGGGAATTTAATGCTCTTTTCAATGATATATAATTTTAGCTAATTTGCTCAAATTCTATTGAAGATATGGGCAATTATTCATGAGCGTGTCAAGATTTCAAAAAATTTCCAGAGAAAAAAATTGAGATTTCCTTTAGGATTTTTTCTCTCATTATAATTCTCAAATCTAACTGATTTAAGAGTTGTTCCTGATTAATTTGAACTCGCTCTATCGATTTCTGAAGTCAAAATTGAGAAAGACTCAAAAATAAAAAAATTCAATTTTTTGCACTTTTTCTAAGGGTAACCCCTTTGGATTTTTATTTACAAATCTTCAAAGTTCGATATCTTGGTAACCAAAAGCGGTACCAAGACAAAATTTCCAGAGTTTGTAGCTCTTGATGAGAGCTTTCAGATGGTATTCAACTGGAATCGCTAGCTTTTATAGTTTTTGAGAAAATCGAGTTTGAAGTTTTGGACAAAATTTTGACTAAAGTTCAACTTTGAAGTTCTATTGCTCATGAACCCGTTGAGGTACTGGAGCCAATATAATACAGTTTTGAAGAGAATTTAATGCTCTTTTCAATGATATATAATTGTAGCTAATTTACTCAAATTCTATTAAAGATATGGGCAATTATTCATGAGCGTGTCAAGATTTCAAAAAATTTCTATAGACAAAAATTGATATTTCCTTTAGGATTCTTTCTCTGATTATAATTCCCAAATCTAACTGATCCAAGAGTTGTTTCTGACTAATTTGAACTCGCTCTATCGATTTCTGAACTCAAAATTGAGAAAAACTCAAAAAAAATAATTCTATTTTTCGCACTTTTTCCCAAGGGTTAACCCCTTTGGATTTTTATTTTCAAATCTTCAAAGCTCGATATCTTGGTAAACAAAAGCGGTACCGAGACAACATTTTCAGGGTTTGTAGCTTTTGATGAGGGCTTTCAGATGGTATTTGGCTGAAATCGCTAGCTTTTATAGTTTTTGAGAAAATCGACATTGAAGTTTTAGACAAAATTTTGACTGAAGTTCAACTTTGAAGTTCGATTGCTCATGAACCCGTTGAGGTCTTGGAACCAGTATGATACAGTTTTGAAGAGAATTTAATGCTCTTTCCAATGATAGATAATTGTAGCTAATTTGCTCAAATTCTATTAAAGATATGGGAAATTATTCATGAGCGTGTCAAGATTTCAAAAAATTTCTAGAGACAAAAATTGATATTTCCTTTAGGATTTTTTCTCTGATTATAATTCCCAAATCTAAATGATCTAAGAGTCGTTTCTGACTAATTTGAACTCGCTCTATCGATTTCTGAAGTCAAAATTGAGAAAACCTCAAAAATAAAAATTTTCAATTTAGCTCTTGATGGGGGCTTTCAGATGGTATTTGACTGAAATCGTTTGAAGTTCGATTGCTCATGAACCCGTTGAGGTACTGGAACCAATATGGTACAGTTTTGAAGAGAATTTAATGCTCTAAGTCTGGCTTGTATTTTTTCTTTCCTTTTTCCCTTTAGATCATAGATAGTGGTGTATTTCTCAATTTTTAGTTTGATTGGCGGGATGGCTGCTATAGCCAGGCTGGCATCTGTGGATACTGTTTTGTAGACTGAGGTTATTTTTATTGCCATTTGTCTGTTCACGCTTTCCATCATCTTGCAAACCTGACCGCTTCACGCCATACTGGAGCTGCATATATGAGCAGTGAATTAGTCCCTATTAGTCTGGAAAGTGCCATAAATGCTTTGGTAGCCTTCTCACATCGTAGTCTGACGTGAGCGGTCATTCTGATGTCCTTATCTATTTGCACTCCCGGGTATTTTATAACGTTAGCGCTTCGTGCCTTTTTGTTTGCGTATCCGTTTCTATAGTTATAGTTTTTCTGTTTTATTGTATCTGTGTTGGTTCAGCCATTCTGTAATATGCGTCTTTCCTAGCACTTTTATGTGTTTACTCAGTTCCTTGGAAATATCTTCAATTTCCCGTTTTGTATTTTGTTCCAAATTTTTCACCAGTCTTTCACCCAGTCTTGTTATCATGTCTATGGTCTCTCTTAGGATGAAGTATTCTGAGCTTTCCTTTTTCTTGTATATAGGGACTTCTCTGTTTATTATTAACATAAATTTTACTTTTAGTACTTTTTGGTTTCGAGGTGTTGCATTGGTGTAGAATCTCATGATCTTCCAGTTTATAGTTCAATGTCATTGCTTGTAGAGTATTTATGATTATTCAAATAAATTTTCAGGTAATTAGATTAGACAATTTGGCACTGCCATTCAAAGATAACTGTTTCGATACGGTCTTATCCTTATCGGTGGTACATCATTTTGCTACGACTGACCGACGAGTGAGCGCCCTAAGAGAAATGGCACGAGTTCTAAGAGTTGGAGGCCGAATGATTATAACCGTGTGGGCAATGGAACAAGATTACAGGTAACAACTTTTGTTTAAGGTTTTGTATCAATAATTGCAACTCAAACTTTTATAGGAAATTCGAATCGCAAGACGTGTTGGTACCTTGGCGCAGGCCCAAACTGAAAACCCAATGCGAAACCAACTCAGAAGATCATTCAGATAGCGATTCAAATAAATCGTTTAGGTTTAGAAATACTTTTAGACGAAAATCGTACAAGGATCCTTACAGGAAAACTTCATCGGGAAGTTCGACGTTATCTTCACCCAGTGAAACTTGCTACGGCTTTGTTAGAAGGGCCTTGCAGAAAATCGCTGGAGGAGGTCGTCGAGTTGTTGCAGGTTCTTGGTTTTTGGACAATTGGATTGCTTGTATGCACAAGCAACCGCCTTTACAGAAAAGGTAAAGGATTTTTGATTGTCTGATGCTTAATTTTTCAAAATATCCTACATTTAGGTATGATCCAGATGGATGTGAATACTGCGATTGTTCAGGCTGTGATACCGTAGAAGATCAGCCTATAGAATTGTTGAGAATAGACGACGAAGAGCCGAGGAAAATTCCGAGACGGCAAACTTGTCCGGTGCCGCAAATCAGTGCCGATATCGATGTTTTTAAGTCGAGAAGTATGAACAATATTAGGGCCGCCCTTGAGAATAACAACAATAATAGGTAAGCCAGAAACGTTTAGGAAACTTCTTAAAAACACGTATCCGATCAGAGGTCAGACTGTTTTGAAAAATGACCAACTAGACGTTTTTCTCTAGTGCAAAACTCCAAACATCATATAGAGGTAGATTCAAAAAGGTCTTGATACGAACACTTCTAAAGAAAAAAGAAGTTTTTCAAAGATCTTTTAGTCGTCTGTCGTTTATAAAACATTGAAAAAGTTCAAATTTTGATTATAATCGGCTCTTGAGTGGCTGGGTAATTTTAATAGACAATCAAGAGCCGGTAATAGTTCAAATTGTGATTATTACCGGCTTTTGATTCGTTGGATAATTTTCCTAGAGCCGATCAAGACCCGCTGATAATTCAAATTTTAATTATTACTGGCTCTTGATTCGCCCAAACACTTTTCCAGGGGAATCAAGAGCTTTTAAAGTTCAAATTATGATTATTACGTACCCTTGATTTGTTGGAAAATTGTCCTACAGCAAATCAAAAGCCGGTAAAACATAGTTCAAATTTTCATTATTACCAGCTCTTGAGTTGTTGAATAATTTATCCAGAAAATCTTTATGGTGGTGGCCTGGATTCGGGAGGGTTTTCTGGATGTTCCAGTGGTGGAATTTTGCATTCGTTAATTAACTAAAAGTCAACTTTGACGCACAAATTGCTCGACAGATATTTGAGCTATCAGGCTCAATTTTTCAAGGATTTTTAGAGAATTCAATTCTCTTTCCAATGATATATAATTTATTTCAATTTGCTCAAAACTCAATGAAAATATTGGTACGCTTAGGAAAGAGGTTATGGGGAGAAAGGAAAGATTTCACCACTAGTAGTTAATACAATCTATTGTTACACTTTAACTTATGTAGCACAGGATTAAACACGGTTTCCCAAAAGTAGATAGCAGTAAATGTTCTTTCCTGGAGGACCATCATATAACATTCCCTTGGAATTCCCGTTCTTATGGAAAGCCCTACGCTATCAATAGTATCCAAACAGCCCTATGAGAATGTACCCTCGAGGAGCTTAGTTTCCATAGGTCTAGGTTTGGGGCGTTGAATGGGGCTTCTGCAGCATGACATTTACCTTAGGATCTCAGTCGAACTGTAGCAAGTCACACTTAACTTGGAGAGAAAGTCTTTTGGCCTGTACCCTCTAGGAGCTTAAGGCTGTGGATACTTACCACTGCCCGACTTTCTCCAAAGCCAAAAATAAGAATTCCCTCTTAATTTGTTTTCTACTTAAAATAGCCATTTGAGGCTCTTGATTCGTTGGATGATTTTCCTAGAACCAATCAAGAGCCGCTTATAGCTCAAATTTTGATTATTTTTGGCTCTGGAAACTCTGAAATACTAAAGATTAAAGAAATATTTTTGTTCAAGGTGCAAATTAAAGCCTCAAAATGGTTGCAATCAAACCAATAAAGAAAATTCGGAAAAAGCTCTAAAAGTGACCCTCAAAAAGCCAAAATTGGTCAAACAAAAAAAATCGCTGTGCGACGAAGACGCCGACGAAGCCTTGGACCAACCAACCGACATGAAGAATCTAGTACGAGCCATGCCCGACTTCAAATCAACCACAACAAGGTAAAATTAACAAAAACTATCGAAAAAATATTTCAATTATTGTATTTTCACTTAGACAAGAACGCGGAGGCGTCCCAAAACAACGCTCCCTCAACGAAGAAATCTTGATGTCCACGGACAGACTGAAAGAGAAAGAAAGACTTAGACAAAACATCCAAAAACAAACATCTCTCAATGAAGATCTCATCTACAAGCGGGTGCACACCTTCGAATCATTACGAGAATCGTTTTTAGCAGTTGCGTCTTCAAAAAGCTTCCAAATGCTAAAAAATCGAATCAAAAACTCTACAACGATGGAAAAAGTATCCAGCACTTCATTGAAAAACGGTTTTGTTAAAATATTTCAAACATGGAAAGGTGCCGAACTAAAATCTCCAAAAGACAACGAAAATTTGAAAAATTCACTCAACTGCCATTCAACTGACAAGGAATCTAATGAAAAACCAGGAGAGCGACGTCATTCAAAAGAAGACGGCTCAGATTCATCAAAAGACAGCAGCTTGCAATCCGATACAAGCGTAGACTCAGAAGACTCCTTTGCCTCAGTAATATTCGTACCAAAATCTGATCCAATGTCCCCAATAGCCGGAACAAGTTTCTCAGCAGGACCCACTTCACCTCTACTAAAAAACACCTCAGCCCCACAATCACCTAGAATCAAACAATCCAGTTGTCCAACAAGTCCTAGAGTCAAACAAGTCCCAAACAATTTGACCAAACAACTTAGTTCGCCGAAACCCTCCACAGAATTACTGACGACATTTTTTCCAATAAAACCTACACGAAAACAAATGGCTCAGAAATACTCAGTGCAACCAATACCGCAATTTAAAAAGACCATTCATAACACTCCTCCAGAAATAATCGTGCCAAATGTTATAAGTCCAACAGACGAAGCTTCTAGAGCTGAAAAGCTGAAAAAAATTCGAGATATTTTAGCGCAAAAGCCTGGATTTGGTAGCAAGTCCAAGTCGCATTGTCCTATAGTGAGGAAAATTTCGGATCCGGCTAGGAAGGACCAAAGCTTGGCTAAATCAATTCCGAAGTTGCTCAAGTTGGAAATTTTCAATCCAGAAGAGGATGATGATAGTGATAATAGTTGCGTTTCTTCGCCTGATAGTGTCAATGAGAAATTTCTGTTTTCTGATGGTAAGAATCATAGTTAGGTATTTAGTGAGTCGAGTAATATGATGATTTTTTTTTTATTCTAGAAAGTCTTCTGGAAGCAACTGCCAATGTAGCGAGTAGTTTGGAGGAAGCTGTGGACAAAGTTATTGGTTCCAGGCCTAAAAAGAAGTTGCCCTCTGTTGATGTATTTTCCATTTTACACAGAAGGTAACTGGTGAATTGATAAGGAATCAACAAAAGTTGAAATTGTGATTATTACCGGCTCTTGATTTGTTGTATAAGGAAATCAAGAGCCGGTAATAAAAATTCTTCTAATTCTTATGATATTATTTCTTGCCACTCACACCTATATCCTCCATTCCATTCCAGATTGTCATCAGATACAACTCCCCTATTAGAAGAAGATGACAAAAACATACCAAACGGAGACTCGAGAAGACCGAGCAACACCTGGAACGAAGAATGCCACAAACATCTCACAGCTTTTGCCGACAAACTGAGCGAAAAACTAATGAAGGAGCTTGATGAGTACCAACTGACGGTAACTATTTTTCTAATATTTTATCGATTATCCTTAAATATATCGTTTCCAGATGGACAACATCGACGATCCATATATTCACCGTTTGAGCGAGGAACTGCACGATCTCTCGATACTCAGCGACGAAATCCGAAAGCAAAACGACTATTTACGACTGTCGCAAAAACCAGCGAAATCGTGCGCAAAGTGCAAAAAGCAGTGCGCTTGCGCCCGACCCTCAATCAAACTGAACAATATTATCAGCACGCCTTGTGTAAATAACAGTGTGAATCCAGCTTTAAATAGTTTAAGTAAACGTAATTATGTAAATATTAACGTGATCAAATCGGAAGACAATGAAAGATTCAACGAGGAATCTTCCAAAAGATTTTTGATAGCTAAAGGAAGCTCGTCAGAATCGTTTGATTCCAGTGATAAAGGTAGTAGCAGCAATTCTTTGCTGTCAAGCGGAGCAACTTCGATTAACTTCGCCGGTCAATCCATAGCGTCATCGGTGACAGATTTAAGTTCTACTGCCTCGTTGGTGTCCACAGAGTCCAAGAGAACTATGGATACTTTGTTGCCTGGAAACTTGAAACGTAGAGACGGGTCTGGATTGAGCGACGTTAGCGCCGATTCATCGTGGCCTTCTGAGGAGGTTGGAGGGGAAATTACTTATCATAGGTGAGAATTTCAAATAAGAACTTTACATAGAATTTGAGCTAAAAATAGTTTGAGAAGGGCGCTACTAGATTGTATCAAATTTTGAAAGATTAACCACAATTGAAAACTATTCATGGTGTTTTAGACATTACAGTTTCAATTTCCTATCGCGAATAGCCTTAGAATCCAAGAGAGGTAATGCACTTTACGCTGGTAGAAGGAGAATAGAAAGGTTTTCTTTTTTAACACGTTCATTGTCCTATGACCCATATATGGGGTCATGCTTCATGTTTTTTGCAAGTCCTGTGCCCCATATTTGGCTCACGTTTAGGTTTTTTTTCATATTAGGTTTTAAGGCGGACTGTCGATCAATCTTCTCATTTTCTGCAGGGGATTTTGTAGTATACAAGACAACTATGCAAAGTACAAATTTGACCCATATTTGAGGCATGGACTTAGGCATTGAAGCATTGACAATTTAGGTATTTTTTTTTATTGATTAGTGTACAGAATAATAATTATAGCAACACACAAAAATAATTTCACATACTAATGAAACTTATTATAACATGGTAGGCAGTATGGACTCTGCGCATGTGGATTTTAACTGTAAATTTAAACTGCAAGGTCCCATGACCCAAATATGGGACATCAGTTGTTTTATATGGAGGACTCCTGTGCTTGGCTGATGGGTTATCATTTGGACAGCAAACGTGTTGAGAATGGAAACTTTTCTCTTAGAGGAAATTTGCTCACAGTTTCCGTAATTTTCAACTAATCAACTTTATACAACAGGTTTTCTAAAAGAGAATTAAATTCTCTATAAATCCTCCAAAAATGGATAGAGTTACTTTTATAGTTTCTGAGAAATTATGTTCATTTTATGTTAAATTCAGTCAGTTTCAGCAAGATTTTTCCTCAGAAATAGCTTCTGAGACTTTCGAGTCATTTTTGTTCAAATTTCAAGCTCATAATCAAAACCTGGAAATCATTTAGAATGTCTGAGTTTAGTTTCAACAACGTTTTGTTCTCAGAACTAGAAAATGTACATTTCAGAATCTTTCAAAGTCAATTTCAGCAAGATTCTTTCTCAGAAATAGCAGCAAGTATGGATGTTCTGAGAATTTCAAATCAATTTTGTTCAAATTTCAAGCTCATAATTGAAACCTGAAAATCATTTAGAATGTCTGAGTTAACTTTCAATAACGATTTGTTCTCAGAAATAGAAAATGTAAATCGCAGAGTCTTTCACAGTCAATTATTTCAGCAGGATTATTTCTCAGAAATAGCAAATGTGGAAGTTCTGAGACTTACAAGTCAATTTTGTTCAAATTTCAGGCTCATAATCAAAACCTGGAAATCATTTAGAATGTCTGAGTTTAGTTTCAACAAGGATTTGTTCTCAGAACTAAAAAATATAAACTTCAGAGTCTTCCAAAATCGATTTCAGCAAGATTCTTTCTTAGAAATAGTAAGTATGGATGGATGACTTTCCAATTTCAAGCTCGTAATCAACTTCTTCTGAATATTGGTTGTTGAAGCTCTTGAAGCTTTCTACACTGTTTTTGAGCTTCTGGCATTGGTTATTGTGGCCCTTCTTTTCTCAGAATTCAATGGCAATGGTTCTTGAAGCTTTTTTCCTGAAAATTCTGGCAATAGTTTATTGTTAAAGATTTGCACTTTTCTGAAGGTTCTGGTATTAGTTTCTGAGGCTGTATTTCTCTTCTGAAGCTTTCAGTGTTTGTTTTTGAAGTTCTTTTACTTTAATTTATTCCGTTAAAAGTTGAGAATTGATTTGAAAAGCCTCTTTTGAAGCTTTTGGTACTGAATTCCTTCTTTTGAAGCTTCTTTTATTGGTTCTTAGTCTGGAACAAAATCCGAAATTATGCCAGAGTATTCGAAATAACCAAATTTTTGGATCCTATAAATAACGGATCAATGATCCTTGTCGTTCGTGGACGTTTATCCGCTAGTGAACCATATCGCGAAGGAAACTTTAGAGTTCTCCGACAAAGTTTAGTGCCTAAGTGACTTTCAATGATTTTAGTGTTAATATGCACCATTGCAGCTTTTTATAACTGTAAGCATATATGTCTACTAAAAAAACTCCAAGTTCTAGCTCTTACTGACTCGAACAATTTACCTGTACTCCCCCTGAAAATAAATCCGAAAAAAACATGCCTGCCAATCCTTCAACTTTCGACATGAAGAACCTAGCGATCATTCCAGAATATAACATGAAACCCAATGAACTCTTCGAGTTTATTAACGTCACGACGTTGCAACTAAATTATTACTGGAACAACACTGATGCTTTCAGAACTACATGCTTTCTCGGGGCATCAAAAGCAAACTTACTACTGCTTGAGCAAAAGAAACTGTTTCGATCTATGGATGCCTTGATTGGGAAGCAGTTAAAGAAGTTCTGATACAAAACTTCGCCGACCAACGCAACGAGAAATCCCTTACAAGAGACCTAGTTAACTTACGTCAAATGCCAAACGAATCTCCTCATCAACAATTCTACGAAAAAGTTATGGGACTTTTAAATACTATTTCGAATTACATAAAACTCCACCATAATAATCCAGACATCAAAACAAGTAAGAAACTTTTCTTCTATCAACAGGCCACATTCATGGCAGGACTAAAAGAACCATTAGGATCAACTATTAGAGCCACGCGGCCAAGCGACAATGCAATTTATCCAGGAGGAAAACAAGATGTGGCTCAAAAATAAGTAGGTAGAAGCAGGTAGTAATGTTACCCAGCCAGACTTTCAAAATTCTGTCCAACAGCAGTTGTGGCTCTCTTATCCATTCCAGAGAACATCACAGTAGCAAACACAGCAATTCAGATCCCCATTCAACCAGACTAGACAGTCTATTGTACAGCCTGCAAGATTCCAGACTCCTCGACTCCAATTTAATGTCTAGTAATGGTACTCCAAACCGCACGCTTCCGCAACCAACACCAATGAGCACTACATCAAGAGCCACCGTAAAACCTTCACAACAATCTGCTCCAAGCTTTACTGTGGAAGAATTATTCAATATTGAGCAGCACGAAGACACTCAGGATAACTATCACTACTATGGATACACCAATCCAAAAATAGACAATAATTACTATGATGTAAAACAACAACAAAATGACTACCAGCAGCAAGCATACGAGCATCACCAAAACACTGAAGGAGAAGGAACAAATTTATGTAGACAGTATACAGAAATTTTCCATTATCCAGACCTTTACAAACCAGATCAAACACTATATTAAAACAAAAGATGAGATTCCAATGTACACCGAGTCATATAGATATCCACATATCCATAAAGAGGAAATGAAAAACCAGATATCTTCCATGCGGGATCAAGGAATAATCAGACAAAACCTTGGTCCTCCTCGATATGGATAGTTCCAAAAAAGCCAGACGCCTCTGGAACAATAAAATGGCGGATAGTAGTGGACTATAGGGAAAAAAAACGAGAAAACTATCGACGATAAATACCCAATTCCAAACATAACAGGCATCTTGGACAAACTTGGTAGATGCCAGTACTTCACGACCTTGGATCTGGCAAGTGGCTTTCACCAAATCGAAGATATATGCAAAAATGCTTTCAATGTTGAAAATGGCCATTACGAGTATGTCCGGATGCCGTTTGGCCTAAAAAACGGTCCAGCTGCGTTCCAGAGGCTAATGGATAAGGTTTTGAAAGGCCTCCACCTCAGGAAATCCGAGGATTTCTAGGCCTCCTTGGATATTACAGGAAGTTTATCAAGGACTTGGTAAAAATGTTAAAAACACTACATTTAAAATATCCCATCGTAACAGTTAAAATAACATGTAACACTAAAATACTAAAACATCAAGACCATGGAATTCTTCCACGCTGTAAAATGCTTTTTGTATTAAGAAGTTTTTGAAACTTTTGTAGCGGAAGTTCTCTGGTCTCATGTGGAAGCTTATTGAAAAACTTCACACCAATAAAGTCAGGACTACATTGGACTTTTTAAGCCCGTAATAAGACGATACCAAGTTACTCTTAAGTCTGGTACTGTAGTCATGGACGTCTTCATGAGCTCTATATTTGGCCAGGTTACCCCTGACATGCAACAGATTCACGAGAATATACACAGAGGGAAAAGTCAAAACCCCCCACTCAGCGAACACAGCCCTACAGTCCTCCCTGTAGCCCAGGCCAGCCATGAGTCTCATAGCCCTCCTCTGTAGGCCAAAGACCCTAGCAAAGTGTGCCGAGGCTCATTAAACACAGCAAAATAGACAGTTCTAAAGTGTTTCCTTTGACACACAGCCCACCAGATTTCTCAAGACAAAACCCCAGCTCTGAGTCTCGCACACACCGCCTCTATATGGAGTTGCCAGATCAATCTGGAATCCAGGCAGACATCAAGGAACTTAACCGATTCCAAATCACAACCGCCGCTAATATCTCTCAAGGTAAACGTCATGTGTTGGGTCTTGTCAGCATTAAGTAACAGACGATTTGAGAGGAACCATGCCTCTACCGCTTCACTAACTATCTAACTACTGATGCTAGTAACTATGCAGTTGGAGCCATACTATCCCCGATTGGCAGCGATAAGCCCATTGAATACGCGTCCAGAACACCCAACGAAACCGAGTTGAAATATTCCACCATTGAAAAGAAAATGTTAGCCATAATCTGGACCATCAAGTACTTCAGATCCTACTTGTTTGGGAGAAAGTTCAAGATACTTTCAGATCACCGTCCTCTCCAATAGCTTTATTCCACGAAAGACAATAGTTCCAAAATAGTTAAATGGCGCTTAAAGCTAGAAGAGTTTGATTATGAGATAATCTATAGGAAGAGAAAATCAAACACTAATGCAGATGCTTTGTCCAGAGTCGAAATCCATACCAAAGAAATATCCCAACCACCACAAGACAAAGATAACACATCTTTGTACAACAATGCAGAATCAATCCTCGACATAGACGAAGTTCTAAAGAAACCTGCTTCGCAAGCAAAGATGCAAAAAGTCATCAGTGAAATCCTTGATAATTCAGAACCCACACAAGCCAACCTTGTTTACTATAATCCAGCAAAGTCAATAATAGAAGTAGCCTTCCCTAACAAATCCAGGCTACATGTCCAAGTAATCAAGAATAACATAGACCCCAAAAAGAAACATGCAATATTTTTCAGGAGATTTTTATGTTCCTCAATGCAACATCCTCAAAGAAATTTTTAAAAATTCTGCATTCTACTTTATCAAATGAAACTTTCTCCTAAAAGACGTCAATAGCAAAGAAAGACAAAGTGAAATAATCCAGGCCTATCATCAAGGAAAAACAAATCATCGAGGAATTAACGAAACCGAAGAGCAAATCCGAAGGAAATATTACTGGCCTATCCTTAAACGAGAGAGTACACCTGTCAGTCAAACAAATATTATAGGAATCCAGCTAAACCTAAATTCATGATTACTTCAACACCGTCTGTACCTTTGGAAATTATTCTTCACATACCTTTCAAGCCGGAGGGCAAAAGTTTTTAACAATTATTGATTCCTTCCCAAAATATGGACAAGCCTGGAATAGAGGGATCAAATTCAGTGAATGTTCTCAATGCCCTCCTAATCTTCATTTCTCAATACCACACAATTCTCAATATCTTCGACATACTAGACAATCTTGACAGAAGTCAATATTTTGCATTTCTGGATTTGTCTTCAGGATTCCATCAGATCGAAATGGATACAAATTTTATTCCAACGTTGAAAATGGACATTTCGAGTATATCAGAATGCCATTTGGTCTGAAAAATGCACCGGCAACCTTCCAAAGGGTCATGCATAATGACTTCAAAGATCTTCAAGGAAAAATATGTCTCCGATATTTGAACAGAATTTAGGAATGGACTTTGTGGATACACATAATATATCTATATCTATTATACAACCCCTGTTAACCCACAATCCAACGGGATGATAGAATGATTCCATTCCACCATTATCAAACACCTGGTAATACTTTGAGAAAATAAAAAATCCTTAAGCGTTAAATAACAAATGCCAATGTGCACTTTTCGGATACAATAATTCTATCCATTAAAAGACAAACATGCGACCAATTGATATATTGACTGGTCACCTAGATGCGCAGGATCCATTTGACGTTGACCTCAGGAAAACCCTTATAAATAATTATACCCAGCAATACAGGGAAAAAAACCAAGACTATCTACAGGAAATTGAAGCAAAAGCTACATGAATCCAAAGAAAAGTACATAGGAAAAAAAATCTAATCAGGCAAACCTCTCTCACCTACAAACCTAGCACCAGGAAAACTGTAAAGCTGAACAAACTAGTTCCAAGATTCTCTCCCAACTGACAATATTGTGTCCATTGACACTCAAGACACGACAATACATAAAAACAAAATTAAAAATGTTCCAGGAAATAACTCTTGAAATTCCTTACAGACGTTCCTCAGCCGTTGCTCAGAGCCTTCTGATCCAGGACAACCGAGGAAAACTTCCCCTTAAGAATACCCACGATTTCATTCACTTTTTTGACTTCTTCCCAGTAACTAAGGAACTTCAGTGTCTGGAAGAACAATACGAATCCGTAAGTACATCAATAGAGAATGGACTGAGTCACCTTTTGTGGAAAAAGAAAGTGAAGTTCCAAATCCAATATGTCCAATCCGGAAACGAGGACGCCTTGCTTTGTCTAGGAAAGAAAATAATCTAGATGATGCAGATGCTGTAGAACAGAAAATGTTACTATGTCCCAAAACGAAGATGCTGAAGCTATTCATGTGCCTCAGAATGGATCAATTTGGAGAATACCTACACCAGTAGATAAGACTAGACATACAACTAGAAGAATCCAAGATGATAAGTACAGGTCAGATTCCTTCTGAAGCCTCAAAAATTGGATCAATGTCTTACAAACACTTTCAAAAGACTTATGTGATTCTACACTATAATAATTTATTAAAACACAGAAAATTTAGATTAATACATAAAAACATTCAAATATCGTACAATAAAGTTCTCATAATGCTCATCAATCGTGTCGTAATGCTCAACATAAGAAACACATCGATCCGATTGAGTTGGATGTTTTGCTGATCAGCTCTGGCTACTGGTAAAACCCTAACCAACTTCTTTGATCGTTGATTGAGGACTTCGATCCGAGAAAACCGTCTTCTGCAAATCGGACAAGTGTTCTGAGTCCTGGACCATCGTTTGAGGCACCCCAGGCAAAATAAATGACGGCAATTTTTCGGAGAGGCGACGTATTTTCGTAATTTTGTCAGGCAAATGGAACATTTTTCGGTTTCTAGTTTCGATTCTTTACGTTTTCGCTTTCTACTTTGTGTCGATTGATTCATTTTTTGGCAATAAATTTTGAATTGAGAAAGTTACATTGACAGTATTTTATTTTTGACAGTTATGAGTGATTAATTTTGAACAATACTATATATTTTCAGGTACTACCACGTATTTCGGCAAGGTGAACTGGAAAAGCTAATAGAAAAGTACGTGGACGATCTTCATGTGGTATCGTCGACGTACGAGCACGCCAGCTGGTGCATAATCGCCGAAAAGGTTCAAATCTGGACCATCTGACCATCAAGTCAACTTAGCTTTAATAACGACCAATGGTCATTCTTTCGCACAATGTATATTTCTACTAGAATAGATTTTTTTATATTATGCCTTTCAAGTTAGGAATCTTCAGATAAATGATAATGTGGCAGAAATTTAGCTTATTTTTGTTTTTGGCTCAAGTTCCTCTCGTTGAAAGTCATTATTGTAAATATTATAACAAATTTTCACGAATTTAATTTCATTTGCAAAGTTTTAGTAAGGGCCAATTTTTCTTGTTGTTGATAAAAGTGATGAGTATCTGTACTCGGAAAAGTTTCAAGTATGTCTTTCATGTTACCAAAAAATTGGCAAGTTTTAAATAAATAATGTTAAACCATTGTTTGTGTTTTATTTAGAAGAGGAATAAGCAAAGGAACTTCAAGGGAAATAATATTGCTGGTAGACTTTAACAGATGAACAGGAAGAAAAATCAACGATAAGGTAGTCGGGAAATAAAACGGAATGAAAAAACTAGAAGACAATATTGTGCTTGAGGAATACAACCTAAAATTTCTAGAAGAGCAAAGCGTTAAGGGGTTGTACATGAAGAGATTGTTGGACAAACTGATATTCATATCAGTGAACCAAAAATTAATGAATTAAGGCCGTTTTACAGCTTGCAAGAAAACTTGAATGCAATTTTTTACATTCAAAAAAATTGAATTCAAGATTTCTTGCACGTCGTTTTACACCTTGCAATTTGACTTGTTTCCTTCTCTAACCTTAAACATACTTTTTTGTTTTTAATGTTGTGTTATTGATGTTTGCATTTTCCAAAAATAAAAAAAGTCGATATAAAAAGAAGAAAGAAAGAGCAGCAGCTTTAAGTATCATAATTCCTGAAAATTCCCCAGCTTTCACGAAAACCTTCAAGAAAAATGGCACCAAACCGATTGCATGCAATGCCATTCAAGTTTCAAGAATCTTGCAGAAACCAATCAGCTGACTCACATCTGCGCATGCCCTCGTTCAAGTTACTTGCATATTGCAGATAGAATTGCAAGCTGTAAAACGGCCTTTAAACTTTAATTAGGCGGTTACACACGGACGTGGATGTCTGAAAACATGTACGCACATACATGAACGTGCAAACAAAAACATCAATGTGTATGCAAAATACCGTCGCGTTTTTGAATGTGCAATTTTGTATGCACACTCGGAATACTGTAGCAAGAATAGCAAGACTGCAGTTTTGTGCGAGCGTCTGTACAAAAGCGCCATGCACGTTGTTGTTTGCGTTGTTGATTTATGCACGTATATGTATTAAGACATCCACGTCCGTGTGTAACAGCCCATTTATTAGCCTATTTTTTGCTATTTATATTGCAGCTATGGATGACTGGATGTGTTTATAATAGTTTTTATATGTAACATAAACAGATGAGGAATTGTTTACTTAAATTAGTGTTTGTAGTTTTTTGTCTTTTGATGTTGAGTATCAGTTCCTATATAGTTAGTTCTATGAGTTCACACGCTGTGTTCGATAAAATAAACATATCGAGAATCAATAATTAACAAGTTCTTTTATTTCTTAGTCCATCTCCCAATAGGTCATGGGACCAGTGTACGTGTATCCATTGCGGTTGTGAAAACCAGGAGTATTTAAATGTGATAGTGACAATGGAAAATTTGAAACTAAAAAGGGTAAGTCTTTGAACACTTTAATAATGATTGCTTTTGAAGTTACTGTTATTGGAAATTTAATAAACATACAGAGTACCTATTTATCTGAAGGTGCATGAGTGGTGAACAAGCACGAATTCCATTCCAAAAACATTGTACTGTTTGTGGACGAATTTACTCACTATTGTGATGATTTGATGAGTCATAAATCAGATACCTATATTTTGTATATTTCATGATTTAGTTGCTGAAAGTGGGGCACATTTTAATTTACAGATTTTCAATGTATTCTTAGACAATGGAGGTGAATATCTAGCTGCTGAAATGAGAGATTTTTGGTATGCAAAAAAATAGCTCATCATTTAACAATTCCACGAACCCTACAAATTAAATGGTGCAGCTATAAACAAAACAAAAAAAATTTTGGGATGAGGGAGGCAGTTTTAACTGTAACATTCTCACTTAGTTTGACCCTTACTAAAGCTTTAAAAGAATTTGAAATACCATACGAAATGTGGCGTAGTAAAAAGCCTCAAGTAAAATATTAATAAGTGTTTGGTTCCATAATACCGTTTATATACATACTAAAACCAGAAAAACAAAATTTAATATCAAATCCTGGAAAGCTATACTGGTTGGTTATAAATCAAATTTATATAAAGTGTGTGATGTGGATAATAATAGGTTTTTTGTAGTTAAGGATATTATTGTAGATATCACCAAATTTGTTTTTGTCGTTCAAGCCTTTTAAGCTGCATAAAGCTGAGTCCTCTGAATGTTTGTCAAGATCAGTAGTCAATCATAAGCGTGAAAAAGTAAATGCAGAACACTTATTTCCATAAAGCTGTTTCCTCTGACTCTTTGATAAGCTTCAAAAAGTGAATGTAGAACAATCTGATGGTAAAAGCTGATTTCTCTAACTGTTTGTCAAGGTCAGTAGTTACTAATAAGCTTGAAAAGTAAATGTAGAACTTTTATGGTCATAAAGCTGTTTCCTCTGACTGTTTTTCAAAATCAGTAGTTGATAGTAAGTTTGAAAAAGTGAATATAAAAAAAACCTTGATTATAAAGCTGATTTCTCTGTTTGTCAATATCAGTGGTTAGTTATTGGTAAGTTTGAAAAAGTGAATATAGAACACTTTGATGATAAAGCCGTTTTCTCTAACTGTTTGTAAGTTTGAAAAAGTGAATATAAAATGCTTTGATGATAAAGCTATTTCCTCTGACTGTTTGTCAAGATCAGTAGTTAATGATAATTTAATGCCGATATAGCAATTTGATGTTTACTTTACATTACAACAATGTATTTAAAAAGTCAAAGAGGAAAGGGGTACGCACATTAAAGCATATGAAAAATGGATATTTAATTATAAATTAGCGTGGCAATTGGTTAATACAACTTGCCGTCGGTTTCGAAAATATGTGAATCACTTGAATAAGGATGAACGTATAACGTATTTTGAATGCACGTTTTTTTGTGACATGGGTAAAAGTCGAAAAGGTTTAGTTGTATGAGCAAATGGCAAAGGGGTATGTGTTCCGGATATATGACTGGATAAAAAGTGTATCTTAGTCATGTAGGCAACATATTCCCTATTCCCGACGAATTTTTGGATTTTACTTATAGGTTTTTTCGAACTTGAAATGAATACAACACGAAATCAGCTGCAAAATAGAACAAAAATGAACCAGAGAGTGAATTAGTGATTTCAACGCCTATCACATGGTTTGGGGATGCCAGGATAACAATAGTTATGGAGTGAACCTGTTATTAGAAACAATGAAACTAAATAATATAATCTTCTTGAACAATGGTAACTTCACGCGTAAAAACCCCTATGGAGGTATAAACTCAGCTATAGATCTTACCCAGACATTCCCATGCCTTAAGAATTTCACAGCAAATTGACACCTATGTACGTTGCTAATTTACCTCCCTCATCGGACAGATATACGATCCAAATAATCAACATTTCCTAACTCAACCCTTTTGCATGGAAGAATTTGAGAACCAACAACAATAGTGCTTCAGGAAAAGACAATTTTCACTATTCAATGCTGTTTAATCTATCACAGTGTGTACAAAAAAATTATTGAATGACATTTTCAACAATATATCTTTGAAGGAATGCATCCTATCTCAAAACAATGGAAAAGTCTATATAATAGTTCCTATTCTAAAGTCCAAGAAGCCCCAAAATTTAGCCACATCCTACCGCCAATTTCACTTAGAATGGTGGATGGAGGAAAATAACAAATTTCCAAAAAGACCGTTCGGATTCAGAAGAGAATATTCTACACAAGAAGCAGTAATAAGCCCTTTAGTGGGTCAGTGAATAAAAATACCTAGGAGTTACACTAGACTATGATGGAACACCCAGATAGATCAGGCTACAAAAAAAGCACAAAGGGGTATAAATGTTATGAGAGCTTTAACGAGAACATGGTGGGGAGCAGATCCCAACATTCTACTAAACATTTATAAAGGGTTGGTTAGATCACATCCAGAGCCTGCCAGGCTATGTATCACACTAGTAAACTCAATTGGAATAAAATGGACAGAACACAGTTTCAAGCTCTAAGAGTCGTCACGGGATGTATGAAGAGTACGCCGGTATATGCATTACTTCCGGAAATGGCCGAATGCCACTTAGAATGAGGAGTTGGTTGTGCACAAAGTTTGCCCTCAAGAAACTGGGCATTGGTGGAGATGTAGTAAACAAGAACTTACTGGACTTCTATGCGCTGTACAATCAAAAAATACAATACTGGATGAATAAACAATGGAGGCGTTGGATTACACACTATCCACCATAGAAACCCTTAAAAATCATATAACACACCTTACTTTGAATATGAATATGGAATACAATTAACAAAGATAAAATGGACAGATTCCAGGATAGAAAAACATGGACAGGACTCGCAAAAAAGAACGGAGGAAATCCTCAGCAGATTTCTTAGGTTTGTGACAATGTACACAGATGCCTCCATAGAACACACTTCGGGCGAATGCGGAGTTGGGATTTTTAACAAAACAAGAAATATCAAAATAATGGGAAAATGTATGGATAATACCAACATCTGTACAGCGGAAACTCTGGCTATATACGTGACCCTCAAGTCCTTAACAGAAGATACTGAAAAGGCTCTAATAATAACGCAGACTCCAAGAATGCAATACCCAAAAATAGTTAAGAGTGTAATCAGAAGAGAATTTGACAAAATCACGTTGAAGACTAGAAAACTAATAATAGAGCTACGGAAAACTGGAGTGATAATAGAAATGATATGGATACCGGAGCACTCGGGTATTGCAGAAAATGAGATGGCGGACAGGCTGGCCCTGAGAGGCAGGATGTCAGACAATTATGTTAATAATGAGAGGCACTACTCAGAATATTACAAAAATGCTAAGGCATGAATAGAGTGGAACAACATTTACAGAGAAAAGGGAGACAACTTTAATAGCAAATACTTTTCCATAGTGAAGGAACCTCAAAAGATACCCTGGTTTACACAGATTATTAAGGCTGCAAAACACCCCAACATTTGTATAAAATTGGCATAGTACCCAATGATAGATGTGAATGTGGTGGAGTGGGAAACATCACGCACGTCCTGCTGAATTGCAGACAGAGAAGCGTGGAAAATGATGAAATACCTATATTTAAAGCTAGTTAAATACAAGAATGGTCCAATATTGTTAGAGGAAATCTTGGCCGATCCAACCAGCAGAGAAGCAAAAGAAATCATGGACTATATTAGGAGGTATAACATTGAAATTTGAGAGGCACACAAAATCCAAACACATCATCGAGCACATCATAAAATGCATGGCATCATCACACATTTTAGTAGATCACATAGTTAATCATAGTAGTAAAGTAGTCAACAAATAATAGTAATCATTGGTAATTTCCCATCTAGGTGTGAATGAAACCAACCAAAACAAGATCCTGTTTGTCACCTAGCGTAACCCTGAAATCATAACCAAAACGTTATATTAGTGTGGGTCAAATCTCATATAGGGATATTAGAAAACGAAATCGTAGATGAGCTAGCTAAACAAGCTACTGAAATTGAAACCTTTTCCCAAAATTTGTATACTTTCCATATACAGATCTATATAGAAAGTCAAAAATGAGAAATATATATAGTTGGAAGGAGCAATATCTAACATCTAACAAAGGAATTAATTTCAAAGAAATGTTTCCTAACATAAATAACAAACCCTGGTTTTACACAGAAACAAACTGACATTTCAAGGACCATCTCCTGATTAAGAAGTCAGCACGCTCTGTTTCCTGAACACTGAACATATGAAAAAAAATAGGACTAAAACATCATGACTTCTGCGAATGTTCAAAACCAGGAGATCTAATCTTAACCACTTTATTCCCGATTCCAATTGTCTCCTACATGAAAGATACATAGGAAAGCTATTCTATGACCTAGCCAAACAAATTCAATTTCCTATTAATTTGAACGTACTGCTCTCCTAGAATAATGACCATAGGAGGTGAACAACGAACTCTGAAATTGGTATTTGGGCACGAAAATCTCACATGAGGGAACCCTAGACCAAGCAATTAAAGATCTAGAACATACAAGGACGCAAGGCAATAATATCCCCACTAAATGGTGTAGATATTGTGGGATCAAAATAGTGTCACGGTTTTGGATTGCCTGACAGAAATCTTGGGTTCGTTTCGTTTATTCCAAAAATCAAAGTCCAATTAACACATTAATAATTTATTCCACGTAACAATACGCTCTGACACTAATTACTTTAATAACTAACTCAACAATTAAACTCTTTATACCAATAATCACTATTTAAATCGTATCACAATCGAACTGAAACTTAACTTACAAACCAATGCCGGCCTTCTTATATATCCTTAAATCTATTCCTGTAAAATGTAGAATACACACGATAATCTTATTTTCCATATTAAAGTAGAATAATTAGATAGATAGATTCTAGGATATTCGCTGTCGAGGCTAAGATTCTTGACAGCCTGGCGAACGCCACAATATCAACAAATCTAACAATACGAGAATATACAACACCATAGTCAAAAGCATAGTCACATATAGTTCAGAAGTCTGGCCACTAAAGATCAGAACTGCAAAAATGCTGGAAGCAACAGAAATGAACTTTTGGAGGAGATCGGCAGGAAGGTCAAAAATGGAAAGGATAACAAATCTGAGAATTAGGGAGATTATGGACGTAAAACGCACAATAGTAGATGATATAAAGGACAAACAGCTGATTTGGTTGGAATATGTACAAAGAATGGCAGCAGATACAAAAATACCCAAGCAAATTATTGAGTGCAAGCCAGGGGGAAGAAGAAGACACGGCAGACCAAGAAGAAGCTGGAGAAGTGGTGTAGACGGAGAAATGAAAGACAGCGGCTTAGGGGAGGATGCCTGCATTGACGTAGATGGTTGGAGATTAGGAATCGGGGGACGTAGAACCACCTTGGATCTTAAGAGTGGATACTGGCTAATGGCAACACACAAAGATGACAAAGAGAAAACTGCCTTCGGTACCGGAAACGGGTTATACCAGTTTAACGTAATGCCTTTCGGATTGTGTAATGCTCCAGCTACGTTTGAGCGACTGATGCATCTACTTTTGCGATGTCTTACATGGAGAACTTGCCTGGTACATTTAGATGATGTTATGATCATGGGAAATTCGTTCCAAGAACATCTCGATAACCTGAAAGAAGTTTTTGACCGCTTCCGGAATGCCAACTTGAAACTTAATCCAAATAAGTGTTTTCTATTTCAAAAGACATGGAATTCTTAGGTCACGTGGTATCTGATAATTATATGTATATAAGCAAAGAATAGTTTGAATTTTGAATCTTTTTATTAATTCGATGGTTTTCTTAATTCTACTACAATAATTTATTCCCAACTTAATTCAATATATAAATAATACAGTCTTACCATTGCTTAACCTAATAATAAGTTCATATTGGATTCTTATTCTACTAAAAATACTCAGTATTACCCAAAAATTGTCCACCACCTCAAAAATGTATTTAGAATAATTTAAATCACATATATTATTTACTTTATTAATTTTACTTAGATTTTCACAAGTTTGTTACTCATCATTAATTTGTGAGTATTATGAGTACCTAATGAGTAAGAAGTTTTGCAAAAATATATCGATACTCAAAGGGATTTGAGCCCCTGAAATTCCTTTAGAAAGTGATTGGAGAATTGAATTGTCTGTAGCTCTGAAAGTTCAAATTGTGACTATCACCGGATCTTGATCTGCTGAAACATTTTTCCAGGGGGAAATCAAGAGCTCTGAGTTCAAATTTTGACTATTACTGGCTTTTGATTGGTTGACACACTTTTCCAGGGAAGTCAAGAGCTCTGAAAATTCAAATTGTGATTATTACCGGCTCTTGATTCGTTGGATAATTTTTCTAGAACCAATCAAGAGCCGCTAATAGCTTAAATTTTGAATATTACTGACTCTTGAATCAATGATCCTTTTGACAATCAAAGAAAACTTTTGGTGAAGGAATAATCAGGTAGAAATAACAACAGATCAACACGCAATTTCCAGCTTTCAAAAGCCTTCTAAAAAAATTATCGTAGCATGCCCACAAAGGACCCAAAACTCCATTTCAAACCAAAGACTTTTGAAGAAATATTTCTAAAAATAAAGGTTGTTTGGCCTATGGGCAAGATAAAACAAAAAATTTGGTAACGAAAATCAAAACCCAAAGCCACCTAACTAATTGTAACATTATTATGCCGAGTACGAACACGATAATGCTCATCCAGCCTGCTTTGCACCCTAGTGACGTAACTCGAAACGCTATTGGTCACGTTTTGCATCAATTCTAACCCAAGTTTGACTTTAAGCTTGAACAAATCACTTAAAAGTTCAAATAAAGTACTCGGTTTTTCGTTGGATGAGTTGATTACATTGGGTAGAGTTGTTGTTTGAAACTCATCAGAAGATTTAGTAGTATGAGAATCAGGATCAGAAGATTTATTCTGATTATCATCGTCTATTTCATTCTCAGCATCATCTTGTATTTGTCGTCTCCTGCGCAAATACCTAGGCGACCCACCAATGGAATTGACAAGGTACTCTTTAGGTATATTGCCTACTACAAATTTTTGCTGTTTAAGATCCCTGGGACCATGTTCTGGTACGACTGCAGGTGTTATCTCTTTTGGATTCAATTTAACATCTTCAACCGACCCGTAAGGATTCATATGAATTTGTGATCTTCTATCCACGTGACGGTACCTTGAGTGTAACTTAGGTTGTAAACTACTCTCAGGCATTCCTGCTATTACTTTACCAATGGCTTCTTCTTCTGGTACGGCATTTGAGTACTCGTCCCGGTAGTAGTAGTTGCCTTCAGTATCTTTTCTGTCGATTTGGTCGTGCCTTCGCAAAGCTGCAAAAGGTTGCAAGTAGTAACTGGCCAAACCAGCTGTTACCAGCAAACCTACCAGGCTGAAACCAACAGTGACAGGTATAATTTCGCTGCGCAAGTAGCTGTAAAGCTGAGTGCCGGCTGTTTCTTTGAGTTTGGCGTTGGCGTCTTTCTTTTCTGGCTTATTGCGGCGCTTGTTTTTCTTCTTTTTCTTTTTCTTTTTTTCGGTTGTTGTCTCTAATTCTTGTTCGCTGTTTTTAGCTTCGACTGGCAAACTTGCTGAAGTTAAATTTGTTATTGGTAATTTAATTGTAGTTGTAGTTGTTGCTACAGTAGTTGTTGATATTGTAGTAGTGTTTTTAGTGGTATTATTGTTTTGTAGCAAAGAAGCTTTTACTTTGGTAATAGGCTTCCTAGTAGTATTTTTTGGTGAAAATGTATTTATCCTAACAGTAGTAGTACTGACAATAGGTTTAGTAGTAGTTTTTACAGGTTTAGTTGTAGTACTACGTTGTTTAAACGCAGGCTTAACAATTTTCATTGGTTTATCGCTCAGCATTAAAGTCTCATTATTTTTTTCGTCCTTAAGTATAATCGGCTTCACACTGGGCTTTTTAGTAGTAGTAGGTTTGGTACTGGTTTGTCCGCTCAACAAAATCCAAGTCGACAAACCTCCGTTGGTTGTAGGCCTGTCCAATTTGTAAAAATTCATTTTCTTGGTGCTTTCTTCTAGAATATCGTCGTCCTCCAATGGTATTGCGACGCCAGCGTGAGATTGTTCGATGGTTCTGTTGGCCATTTTATCTTTAATGAAGTTTTGGATTTTCGGGGGCGTTCGGACGTCCAAAAAGGACACTGCTGATGACGTGGCATTGGAGTCTGTTGGTAGTTGATTGGTTGAGTTTGAGTTTTCGGTGGTTGGTTCTGGGTTAGTTCTGAAACAAATAATTTCGATAATTCATTGTGGTATGAGTTAAGGGCTGGTTAAGGAGGAGGCACACATGTGAAGGCTCATTAAGGGAGGCAATTAATTTATTGTAAACCTAATTTAGAAGAATGAGAAATATTATATCTCCTCGAATAAGAAAAAGAAAATAACATAAAAATAAAAATATAAAATATTGTCACCCTAAAAGAGCCACCATTGAAATAATAAAGGAAAAATAATTAAAACAATAAAATTTATTACAAAATAAATAATTTAATTTAAAATAAATACATAAATTACAATAAAATAAATAAATAAATGAAAACTAGACTTATATAAGTATTATTTTACAATTTTACAATTTTCTTTATGCCTATTTTACTTACAGCTACTAGGTGATATTTTAGTCATATTTAAACTTTTTTAAAGATTAGAATATGTACACAAGCTTGTCCAAGTCAATAGTCCATTCTATAAGCCTCAATCCTTAGAAATCTATTATAGAATAATTTCTTCATTATTACATTTCAATTATTTTTGTTGCTCCCTCATAGCAACGTTTGAAGACGTCTTAAAATCGTGCAAATGTCCCAACTTCAAACGTTAAATAGACGTCGAAAACAAATGTCTCAAAAATGCTTCGGAATAAGACGTTTTTAGAAGGTTTATGCTTGTGGACGTTTTATGAACTTATTGAAATTTATCATTACCGGCTTTTGATTTGTTGGATAACTTCTCTAGGGCCAATCAAGAGCCGCTAATAGCTCAAATTTTGATTATTACTGGCTTTTGATTGGCCGAAACAGTTTTCCACGGGAATCAAGAGCTCTGAAGGTATTGAAATTGTGATTATTACTGGGTGTTGATTGGCCGAAATTGAGATAGTGATTATTACTGGTTGTTGATTGGCTGAAACAGTTTTCCAAGGAAATCAAGAACTCTAAAAGTTCAAATTGTGATTATTAGCGGCTTCTGATTCGTTGGATAATTTTTCTAGAGCCAATCAAAAGCCGGTAACAGTTCAAATTGTGACTATCACTGGCCTTTGATTGGTTGACACACTTTTCCAGGGAAATCGAGAGCTCTTAAAGTTCAAATTGTGATTATTACCGGGTCTTGATTCGTTGAGAATTTTTCTAGAGCCAATCAAGAGCTGCTAATAGCTCAAATTTTGTTTATTACTGGCTTTTCATTGGCCGAAACACTTTCCCAGGGAAATCAAGAGCTCTGAAAGTTCAAATTGTGATTATTTCTGTCTCTTGATTGGCTGAAACAGTTTTCCAAGGGAATCAGGAGCTCTGAAAGTTCAAATTGTGATTATTACCGGCTCTTGATTCGTTGGATAATTTTTCTAGAGCCAATCAAGAACCGGTAACAGTTCAAATTTTGATTATTACTGGCTTTTGATTGGCCGAAACACTTTCCCAGGGAAATCAAGAACTCTGGAAGTTCGAATTGTGATTATTACTGGTTTTTGATTGGCCCAAAACACTTTTCCAGGGGAATCAAGAGCTCTGAAAGTTCAAATTGTGATTATTTCTGGCTCTTGATTGGTTGAAACAGTTTTCCAAGGGAATCAGGAGCTCTGAAAGTTCAAATTGTGATTATTACCGGCTCTTGATTCGTTGGATAATTTTTCTAGAGCCAATCAAGAGCCGGTAACAGTTCAAATTTTGATTATTACTGGCTTTTGATTGGCCGAAACACTTTACCAGTAAAATCAATAACCCTCATGGGCGAAGTTAGGTGGGTGGGGGGGCTTGGAAGGTCTAAGCCCCCCCTCCCAAAAACCGATTTAGCCACCCCAAAAATAATTCGCACTTCATCACACCCACACATATTAGAAAATAGAAATTACAAAAAACCAAACATACTAATTTCTATTTAACTAATCTAGATAGGTATGTGCATTTAAACATTTTATAGGTTCAGTCTCAATGGTAATACCTAATTGAAGGCTCAGAACGCTCAAATTCGTTCATTTCGTGGGTCGAAATGAACGTTTTTGGGCGTGGCACCCCAAAAATTTTCTTGACTCGGGCGGCGCTTGCGGCGGGCCTTCTCTACCCCCTATGGGCCTGGGGCTGTGGCCCCTCCAGATCTGATGCCCCAACTTCGCCCATGATAGCCCTATAGATTTAAATAATGATTATTACCGCTCATGAATCGTTGAGAATTGTCCAAGAGCCAATCAAAAATCGCTAATAGCCCAAATTTTGATTATCATTTGCTCTTGATTTGCTGAAATACTTTCCCAGGGGAATCAAGAGCTCAGAAAGTTCAAATTGTGATTATTACTGGCTTTTCATTGGCCCAAACACTTTTCCAGGGGAATTAAGAGCTCTGAAAGTTCAAATTGTGATTATTTCTGGCTCTTGATTCGCTGAAACAGTTTTCCAGGAAAATCAAGAGCTCTGAGAGTTCAAATTGTGATTATTACCGGGTCTTGATTGGTTGAAAATTTGTTTAGAGCCAATCAAGAGCCGCTAATAGTTCAAATTTTGATTATTACTGGCTTTCGATTGGCCTAAACACTTTTCTAGGAGAATCAAGACCTCTGAAAATTCAAATTGGAATTATTACCGGCTCTTCATTCGTTGGCTAATCTTTCTAAAGCCAATCAGGATCCGCTAATAACAATACCTGAACTCAAATTGTAACTATTATATCACCGGCCCTAGATTCGTTGAGAATTTCTCTAGAGCCAATCAAGATCCGTCAAGATGGCATCGAGTGAAAATGAGCTTAGTGAAAGTGAGAGTATAAAGAGCAATTTAAACTGAAAAATACATATAAGTGTTGTGCAAAAAGATTTGCAAAACAATGATTTGCAGAAACTGTCAGTGGCGGGCCGTGACTTTTATTTTAAGGGAGGCAGCCCAAAAAAAAAAATTAGCTTCGTAGGTAAATTTTTGTTGGGGGGTTAAAATTATATAAAAATACATTTTGTAGCATTTTTACAGGGGAGGCATTGCCTCATCTGCCTCCCCTGACGAGCCGCCACTGGTTCAAACTGTGAAAGTTTCTAACATTCTTCCTGTGCGGCAAAGAAAAATCTGAAAGTCATTAGTGATACCCATGTGGAATGCTGTGTGGGAAACTACAATCAAGAAAATACCTATATAAAATCATCGATGAACTAAAATAAAAAAACGACATCCTGAAGAAATGTAACAGTATCCTAGGAGAAAATAACCGAGTGCTACTAGAACGTGTGTCAGATCTAGAGAAAAATCTAAAGCAAAACAAACAAGCCAAACGTCAGTATCTGTGGTCAGTATTCCGATGTACCTATGGAATTATTCCGACCGGAAAAGTTATCCAAGTGCCGCATAGCAAGAAAAAACAAAGAGGCTAGCCTACCTACAACAAAACCTATTGGAATTGAACACACAAACGTCACAAGCCAGAATATAATCCAAAATCAACACAACCAAAATTTGGGGAAAAATTTCAAAACAAAAACACTCCAAGTGCAAGAAAATGAAACACAAGAAAGTAGGGATGATGGGGAAACTAACCCAGACACTGGCTTCACGACAGTCACACGAAAACAATACAGAAAAAAAAGGTAGGAACAGGGACAATGAAATGAAGAGGGTTTTTCAGGACCTGAACGAAAAGTATGACTTAACATATACAGAGTGAACCATAATGTGACCAAAGAAATGGTAGGAAAACACATCAGAAAAATGACAGGCTTTGAGACTGAGAAGCTGACTGCGATAGAACTTACCACACAAACAAACCTAAAATAGAGTATGAACTAAAAATCCTATGCCTAAGAGAACATTGGAAATCAGAGAGCCAACTGCAACATCTGCCCATAGAAGACTACAACCTTCTGTCAAACTTCTGCAGGGCCACCATGGGGGGATCTGCAATTTATATACACAAATCAATACAGGAAAAAAACTTCAAGAGAATTTCAAAAATATCCTAGAGACAATCAATTTGAGTGCGCTGCAGGTGAAGTATGCATCGACAGGAAAAAAACAATTGTACTATTTTCAGTATAGATATACACCACCAAATGGACATTTACAACTTTTCTTCCAGAAAATAGAATATCTGTTATTTTACAGGGTTGGCATAGAATTTCCCCAGGTTATAAAACCCAGTGGGGGTTTTCGGGTTTTTTCAATTGATAAAACCCACCATTATTGGGTCTTTTTTTTTAAAAAATAGCTAATTTTCAGTTGAATATGAAATATCAGGGATTCCCCGATGATTTCCCAGTCCCTGGCTGTTCGCTGTTGGCGTTTGGCGTGGTGATCTGGGCAGGGACTCCGTGCCATGTGGAATTTAGAATTCGACATATCGAATGTGCCGAGTCTATAGTCTATAGAATCCTGCCGATGTGTAGAATTCTACATGACACAGGATCTCTGGGGTAAGGGACAGAAACTATAACTCAAATTTGAAGAAGAACATGAAAATTCCCAGGCAGCACGAAAAAACCCAACGGGTTGGAATTTTTCAAAAAAAATCTGGGTTTTTTCCAATCCTAGTTAGAAATAATACAAGCAGAAAACAAAATGACAGTGCTGGCAGGAGATTTTAACATAGAGAGGATTGATCCAAATAGAAATAGAGACATATTTCTAAATATACTACATAGACCAATGGGAGAGTCATGTACTTGACATGCATGTCTCAGATTACTCTGCACAGAAGTTGTGCTTTTTAATTAATACTGACGCAAAATCACAAGTAAAATTTCAAAGAAAATTTTATGAGAGGGAGAAAACTACCTTTAAAAACAATGTTATGGCCCAAAACTGGGAAACAGTTCGAGAGCAAGAAAAGAAAGATGGTAAATGGACAATGGAACCAGTTCATGTCAATATTTTTGATGAATGTTTTACCAAGAGGAAATAGCAAACATAAACACATACCAAGCAGCCCAGAAATTGATGAAATTAGTAATAGATTAGATTTCCTATCCATGTTAAAAAAACAATATCCTATACAATGGCATATACAGGGGGGCCCATCGAAAACGAAACGGCATTGATTTGGATATTTAATGTCATATAAAAATAAAACGCTCATAAAGACGTCAACTTTGTTTATTAGGCATATAAGCTAACCCTCATCTGCAATCCCTTGGGTAGGGTGAAACTTATCCCTAAAACCTGAAATGGAAAGAAGGGTTGAGTTGCATCTCGTTTGAAAGGTCTTTCGATTCTCTCTAGCAAAAAACCAAATTTGTGAAGAATTTGTCCCTTTGGTATTTTTTAAACAAATGGAAAATTTCGTTAATCTACGTGTTGTAAATAAAGAAACAGGCATAAAAATGTTTTACTCTATAGCCGACAGAGTGAAGCTGATTTCAATATCCTTGAATCTGCATTCAGGATAGCTGACATTTTCAATCAGCGGCATCCTGGGACACATGTCAATCGAAAGTATGTCCTAGAATTGGTGCATAAATTTAGAGAAATTGGATCAGTATGTAACAAAAAGAGAGATATTGCAAAACCAGTAGTCAATGAAGAAGTGGAAGTAGCTGTTCTAGATCATGTCACTCAAAATGTAAAACTGAGTACGAGAAAGCTAGCTGCTGTCTCAGAGGTCAATCGAACTAGCATACAACGAATTTGGAAAAAAACACAAATTCCATCCATACAAAATACGATTAGTCCAAAAGCTCAACGGAGATGACTTTGATAAACGTCTGGAATTCTGCGAGACGATGAGTGCACGAGTAGATCAAGAGCCCATAAATGTGTCATTTAATATCTGCTTTTCTGACGAATGTTTTTTCTTCGTCAAAGTCACAATTGCCGTTACTGGGGAGATACAAATCCTAGAATTTTTCATGAGACGCACACGCAGCATCCAAAAAAAAACGTTGGGCTGGCGTCTCCGGTAACCATGTAGTTGGCCCCTTTTTTCTACCTATTCAGGACTATTAGAAACTGCAATCAATCCTGCCTTATCTGACTGAAATATTGGAAAACGATGAACGCTATTTGGAAAATCGTTTTATGTTTCAACAGGATGGCGCCGCTCCTCCCCATATGCACGCCCTGTACGGGACTATTCAAACCAAGAATTTCTGGAAAGGTGGCCACCAAGGTCGCAAGATTTGTCACCATTAGACATCTTTTTGTGGGGACATTTAAAAAGTAAGATTTACGCCACTCAACCAACTTCTTTACAAGATTTTCGGGAGCGAATTACAAATGAATGTCATCTCATAAGACCAGATATACTTCAAAATGTGAGGAACTGTTTTGAAGAGAACTTGTATTTGCATGGAAGTTGAGTGGTCAGCACTTTCAAAATCTATTTGACTTAATACATGTAAGTTTGTTATCTTTTTATTAATGTAAATTACTTCTAATAACAAAAATAAAAGTTAATTTTTGAGCATCCTAATGAAATGTAATGTCACAAACTACGTCTCATTGCAAAGAGAATCGACCTTTGAAATGAGGTGTAAGTCAAATCCCCTTTCTATTTAAGATTTTAGGGGTGAGTTTCATCCTGCCCGAGGGACTGTAGATGAGGGTTTGCTTATACGCCTATAAATGTCCCCCTTAAAAATAAAGTTGACGTATTTGAGCGTTTTATTTTTATATGACATTAAGGCTGTGGTCCGAAAATAACCATCAGGGTTGTGGTTTCGCGGGCCAGAAGTAATCAAATTATTCTAGTTCCTAGAAAAGTGGTTACTTTTGGGCCATGGTTTCCTGAAATCTGATTAACCAAATGTCAAAATAGTTACCGGCTAAAGAGTCAAAACTGTAAGATCAATGGAAGTCCTGAAGAAGTCGCAAATAGTTTTAACACATATTTCAATGAATGAAATAGTAAATGATCTTTTAGATAATTTTAATGATATTCCAATAGATTAAAATGTAAACAAACCGTTATAGGCTTTATACTTAAAGCCTACTTCACCTCAAGAAGTCAAAGATCTTTCTAAATCTATTAAAAACAAGTACAGCAGTGGTGAAGATGAGATACCGATATCTATAGTTAAATTATCACTGAGTTATGGAGTGAAATTTTGTCATATATCATAAACAACTCGTTCAAATATGGCATTTTTCCAGACCAACTAAAACTGGTGCTCATTAAACCTCTCTTCAAAAATGGGGAACCTGAAAATATAGAAAACTATAGACCCATAAACTTATTGCCAAGTTTTTCGAGAGTGTTCGAAATGACTATGTGCACAAGACTATCAACCTTTTTCTATGAAAATGATATATTCACTAACACTCAACATGGTTACATTAAGGGGCGGTCAACTCAGACATCCTGGCATAGAAAAGCTGGAAGCATATGGGATAAGAGGAAATGCAAAAAGTTAGATAGAATTGTACCTCGGTGATATATAGAAAGCAAAGAGTAATGTTCACCAAGAACAACACAATTTTTAAATCCAACATATTATGAGAATAGCCCAAGGAAGCGTAATTGAACCCTTTCTGTTCATTGTCTTTTTGAACAACCTGAGTGGTATATACTGCAGAATTTGGACGCAAATATAGTGAACTATGCTGATGACACAAATTTTGTTAACGCAACATTATTTATAAATTTGGTTTCTTCTCATTCTTATTAAAGAATTACTTAAATGTTAATTTCGCGTAAAACACACAGGAGTGTATTTTCTACGACCCTGCGCCGACCGAGACCGCCGTTGAAGATTTGGATTTACACACTAGATAAAATGGTGTTTCATATGCACGTTGCAATTTCCGGTTCCGTGTTTTAAGCTCGAAAAGTCTATGTCTTGTGCCGTTAAAAAGGGCCCTTGAGTGCCTTTAAGTCGATGGTAATACGTTGGTGGTTGTGAAGAACCGTTTTCCAGGGGGATCCCCGTATATACGCACAGCTTATAAGAAAACCCAGGTGAGTGGTAATAACTTTTGTGTGTTTCGACAACCCTATGGTATCAATTTCATTTCTATTTCTATTTGTTTGCGCGATATTCCAGTCGCAGTTTACTAAATTTCAAATACTATTGCGTAAACAAATTTAATTATAAGTGCAGAGACCTTTTGCAGCCTGGAAGAACGGGATACATGAAATCCAAAAAATGGTTTGATCAAAATAAATTGATTTTAAATGAGCGAAAGACAAAGTTAGTAATTTTCAACACAAACAGATCCACAAAGAACAAGTTTGACATATCAGCAAAAGTCCGCAAAATTCCTAGGAATATACAACGACATATTTTTGAACCTTAATGAACACACTGAACTGAAAATCAGAATGTCGTCTAGACACATGAACGAGAAAACTTTGAAAACTTTATATTAGCAAACTATAAATCAGTATTTAGGTATGGCATAATCTTTTGGGGAAATAGTTCAAATTTGGAAAAAGTATTTTTGTCACAAAAGAGAATGTTTCGATGTAACCTAAGTTTCAGAAAGTCTTGTAGATCAAAATTTAAACAGAAAAATGTAGGTACTTACGGTGTATGGAATACCTATATTTGTTAGTGTTTATAAGGTCTGTTTCTGCAAGAATCACAAACCAGTCAGAGTGAATTTCATTGGTTGAAAATAGTTTTCTGACTGTAATCAACCAATGAAATTCGTTCCGACTGGTTTGTGATTTTTGCAGAAACAGACCTATTGTTTCTTCACAAAAACAAGGACAAATTCATTATAAATAATTTCAACTCAAGATATGTCACAGGTACTCTAGACATGAATTTTCCAATCCATAGACGCTCTTATATGAGGAAAAAAAACCCTGCTTCCTATATGTGTATCAGAATATTCAATAATTTGCCAAACATGAAAAACTTAGATAATTTGAACGCCTTTAAGAAAACAATAAAAACATTATTTATTAATTTAGAAGCATGCAACGAATACTTTGATGCAAGACAGCAAACATAGGGCAACCTTTTAAATTGTAGGTACCTATACACTTTCTTTTAACACTATTTCATTTAAGCTTTGGTTTTATACACATTGTTTATTCTGAAATTATCTGCAATAAAGAATAGTATGATTATAATAGCTCAAATTTTGATAATTACTGGCTTTTGATTGGCTGAAAAACTTTTCTAAGGGAATCAAGAGCTGTGAAAGTTCAAATTGTGATTATTACTGGTTCTTGATTGGCCGAACTTCTTTTGCAGGGGAATCAAGAGCTCTGAAAGTTCAAATTCTAATTAATACCGGCTCTTGATTCGTTGAGAATTTTTCGTTACTAATAACTCAAATTTTAATCATTACTGGCTTTTGATTGGCCGAAACACTTTTCCAGGGAAATCAAGAGCTCTGAATGTTCAATTTGTGATTATTACTGGCTTTTGATTGGCCGAAACACTTTTTAAAGAAATTCAAGAGCTCGGAAAGCTTAAATTGTAATTATTACCGGCTCTTGATTCATTGGATAATATTTCTAGAGCCAATCAAGAGCCACTAATAGATCAAATCTTGATTATTACTGACTTTTGATTCGTTGGATAAATGTTCTAGAGCCAATCAAGAGCCGCTAATAGTTCAAATTTTGATTATTACTGGCTCTTCATTCATCGAAACATACAAACATCCCTAGGAAACGTCCATAAGCATATTGAATGAATCTCATATTACCACCTTAAATCGGTTCTAGAGCATTCAATTTCTAAACTAGAAAGGCTTCCATTCCAAAGGAACTACAGTGTATTGAAGGAACCCAAGTTTGAAATTCAAATTCTGGATATAACTGTTGGATACTTTGACGGATATTGAGTGCATGTTCGAAAAGAGAACTCCACATAAAACTTACTAGTCTGTTGGAAATTCTTAGTAACTTTCAAATATTAACCATCAAATTCTCTGGTAGATACCTCATTAGTTCTCATACGAAAACTAAAGGCAACAGAGAACCACAAAATACCCACAGCACAGGAAACCCTAATTGGTACCATTATTGATACCTACTGCTGGACAACTATTTACGTTTCCTATTTTTTTCCTTCAAATACTTAGAACCAAACCCAATAATCTTATCATCCAGCATCTCTTCGCCAACACTCCTTCTCTGCCGACTAACATCTTGCCAAGTCTTAGTCTGATGGTTCCAGAACCACCCGTCAGGATGTTTAACAACCACAGGCCTGTGATGGTGCTTGACATGAGCCACTTCATGTTTCGGCTCCTCAGTCCGCACGCTAAAGTACAAGAAAACGAACGGTATCCACCAGGGAAACAATGCCAAAATACCCAAAAAGCCTAATTTGAAAAACAGTATTATTGGTATTATATAGAGCCAAGGGTTCATGAGTTTTTGTAGCAACCACCAAAGACCGCGCATTAGGTAACCCATTGCTCTAAACATGGGTGCAAGGTCTGGTAGTTTAAATCCGCCATCGTTACCGCCTCCGTCGCCACCACTACCACCAGTACCACCGCTAGAACCACCACTAGAACCGCCACTAGAACCACCAGCACCGTCTGCGTAAGTTGAAACAGGATCTGCAGCAACTGGTTCAGCCTGGTTTGTCAAATCGTCTTGGGCTACAGCATCATCTGCAGCAACAGTTTCAATACCGTCAGCTGAAGTATCATAGGTACTAACCCCAGGGTTTCTGGTGTCTTGGTTTTGGTGGTAGTGCGTGTTGAGGACTAAATTTAAGTCAGAACAGCCTTGTCGCTGTTCTAAGGGTGATAAAACTGAGCTTGAAATGTGGACTGTAGGACAATTTGAAGAAGGGTCTCTGAGGTCTGAAGCTGTAGGGAGCATGTCTAAGTTGAAAGTACTTATTGGATTATTGGGATTGGATGTATCAACAACATTGGATGTTTCTTCAACAATTGGTGGAACACCTTGTAAAGGCTCTGAAGGTGAGTTGGAGTAGATTTGAGGTTCTAAATTGTCGCTAATTGAAAATGGGGGCGAACTTGAAGTGATTTCTGGCATGGGGTTTGGATACGGTACTCCTTGTTCGTACCAGTTTTGCTTCAGATTTGTAGTCTTAATTTTTACAGACTTCATGGTACTTGTTGGTCGTCGAGTTGTAGATTTAGTCAACTTTATGGTAATAGGTTTGATAGTGGACAATTTCAGTTTTGCAGTTGAGTTTAATTTTGAAGAATATTTTTTGGTCGTTATATTTTGCTTCAAATCTTTAATGGTTGTTCTGATGAAATTATGAAGCACTGGATCTTTTTGCTTGGTTTTAATTTTCCTACTACTACTACTACTACTACTACTAGAGTCTTTGGGACTATTATTTTCTGGACTAGAAGTACTACTTACCTTAATTAAATTATTATTTACATTATCTATATCTAAGCTATTATTACTAAGGGGTTGTTTTTCTACAATAAGGTACCTTGGTGAAGTTGTCTCTAAGGTCATTGACCACACTAAAGATAGAGTCACTGTTAAGACACTTAAAGTTCTTAGGCACCGCATTTTCACCTGAAACAATAAAGAATAATTATGTATGGGAAACATTATAAGGTTTGTAATATAATGACTAAAACGGTACTGCTTTAAAATTGAAGTTAAAGGTCAATAATGCGGATATTATAGAGTTTTGGATTTTTATATGTGGGTTTCAGTCAAACGATATATTAATTATTCATGAAGATTCGTATAATTAAATTTTTATGGTTGGCAGAAATCGGAGCTCCTTATATTTCATGCCATACGGTATGTATCGAAGAATTTTGTACCGTTAATTGATTGCCACGATACACGAAAAAAATTTAAAACCAGGCTGTTTGATGTAGGCAAAGAAAAATTCCTCTAAAATAACTTAATTTTATTTCATTATGAGAAAAAACCTGCAAATATTATCTAAGACAATTGTTTATTGAACAATTTAGCGTATTATTAAGACAGCAAACAAGGAAACGGTGAATGAAATTGAAAATTTTCTCACTATGTGAATTATATTTATTGTAATTCTAGTACTTGCACTTGGAAAGTGAAAATGTTAGATAATAGATTGCTGTGAATTTGTTTCTTGGAAATCTGAGACAGCCATAAATAATTGAGCAAATATTCACCTAATTTTGAACAAATGAGCATAAATTATATATCGTTGAAAAGGGCATTAAATTCTCTATAAACAAAGCTAAATTTGTTGAAGTAGCTCATAGAGCCTCTGAGTTATCCAGCCTTAAAGTTGACATTCAGTCGATATTTTGTCCAAAACTTTGAACTCGATTTTCTCAAAAACCCCAAATGTTAGTGCTTTCAACTAAATACCATTTTGAAGCCCTTATTAAGAGCTACAATTCCTGAAAATTTCATCTAGGTACCGCTTTTGGTTACTCAGATATTGAGGTTTGAAGATTTAAAAATAAAAATCCAAAAAAAAGTGCAAAAAATTGAAAATTTTTATTTTTGAATTTTTCTCAATTTTAACTTTACCCCTGGATAGAGCAGATCGAAATTAGTCGGAAATAAATCTAATGTCATTTTCAAATGATAATTTCGAGGAGAAAAAAAATCTAAAAGAAAATCTCAATTTTGACTTGAAATTTTTTGGAAATCTGACATGGCCATGAATAATAGAGCAAATGTCCACTTAAATTCCAGCAAATGAGCATAAATTATATATCATTCAAAAGAGAATTAGATTCTCTATAAACTGTGCTAATTTTGTTGAAGTAGCTCATGAACCTTCTGAGCTACCAACCCTCAAAGTGGACATTTAGTCGACATTTTGTCTAAAACTTCAAAGTCGATTTTCTCGAAAACCATAGATGCTAGCGGTTTCAGCTAAATACCATTTTAAAGCCCTTGTCAAGAGCTACAATTCCTGAAAATTTCATCTTGGTACTGCTTTTGGTTACCAAGATATTGAGGTTTGAAGATATGAAAATAAAAATCCAAAGGGGGTAGTCTCAAAAAAAGTGCAAAAAATTGAAAATTTTTATTTTTGATTTTTTCTCAATTTTAACTTTAACAATGGATAGAGTAGGTCAAAATTAGTCGGAAATAAATCTAATATCATTTCCAAATGATAATTTCAAGGAGAAAAAAAATCTAAAAGAAAATCTCAATTTTGGCTCTTGAAATTTTTTGGAAATCTGACATAGCCATGAATAATTGAGTTAATGTTCTCTCAAATTTTAGCAAATAAGCATAAATTATATATCGTTGAAAAGAGAATTAAATTCTCTATAAACTATGCTAATTTTGTTAAAGTAGCTCATAGAGCTTCTGAGCTATCAAACCTCAAAGTGGACATTTAGTCGACATTTTGTCTAAAACTTCAAAGTCGGTTTTCTCGAAAACCAAAAATGCTAGCGGTTTCAGCTAAACACCATTTTTAAGCCCTTCTCAAGAGCTACAATTCCTGAAAATTTTATCTCAGTACCGTTTTTGGTTACCAAGATATTGAGGTTTGAAGATTTAAAAATAAAAATCCAAAGGGGGTAGCCAGAAAAAAGTGCAAAAAATTGAAAATTTTTATTTTTAATTTATTCTGAATTTTAACTTTACCAATGGATAGAGCAGGTCGAAATTAGTCGGAAACAAATCTAATATCATTTCCAAATGATAATTTCAAGGAGAAAAAAAATTTAAAAGAAAATCTCAATTTTGGCTCTTGAAATTTTTTGGAAATCTGACATGGTCATGAATAATTGAGCAAATGTCCACTCACATTTCAGCAAATGAGCATAAATTATATATCGTTCAAAAGGGAATTAAATTCTCTATAAACTGTGCTAATTTTGTTAAAGTAGCTCATAGAGCTTCTGAGCTATCAAACCTCAAAGTAGACATTTAGTCGACATTTTGTCTAAAACTTTAATGTTGGTTTTCTTGAAAACCATAAATGCTAGCGGTTTTAGCTAAATACCGTTTTAAAACCCTTATCAAGAGCTACAATCCCTAAAAATTTCATATCGGTACCGCTTTTCGTTACCAAGATATTGAGGTTTAAAGTTTTGAAAATAAAAATCCAAAGGGGGTAGCTTTAGAAAAAAGTGCAAAAAATTTATTTTTGGATTTTTCTCAATTTTGACTTTACCAATCGATAGAGCAGATCCAAATTATTCGGAAATAACTTTAACATCATTTCCAAATGATACTTTCAGACAGGAGAAAAATTGAAACGAAGAAAATCTTAATTTTGACATTAAAAATCTGACACAACCATGAATAATTGAGCAAATGTTCACTAAAATTTGAGCAAATGAGCATAAATTATATATCGTTGACAAGAGCATTAAATTCTCTATAAATCATAACTAGAATTTTCAATTTATTTAGCTTTAATTAGCCATTCCAAACAGGCCAAAAATATACATACATATTAATTTCAAACCAAATAAGCCTACCATACCATTTCAAGAAAAACAAAAAAAAAAAACGGGTTCCATTTCTGGTCGTTTCCGTTACACCAAAAGTACCCATAATGATCCTCGAAAAAATATTGTTATACATAACAATAAAATTGTAAGAAACTAAGTATATTGGAACCAAAATCCATCAAACCGTGAAAGTACGCATGTTAATCCACTTTTGCACTCTCTATGGTGCTGACTCACGAAGGCAAAACTGGGCCAGAAGTACCATGACATTGACAACAAAGTACCATGAACTTTTGCACTTTGCATAATATCTGGGTTAAATATTTTCGTAGGTACCAAAAGTTTCATTAGGCCCTTTGCACCATATACGTGGCTCTATTTTGAAATAAAATAAACTTAGAGCCAAATGGCTCAATCAACCAATAACAATTTTTTTAGTAAAAAAAATAATAGAGTAGCTCCTTTTATTAATATGAACAATAATATTGAAGAAGAAAAATTTTTACTTACGTTTTAAAGGTACGGGACCTCGTCTTCGTAAATCACCACAAAACCTGTACACTATTTTATTCCGTATACGAAGTACTACTGCCGATGGTACTGCTAGAAGGTTCCTGTTGCAGGTTGAAGCTCTCGATGTAGCGGTACCCATATCAGCTGACGACACCGCCTGGAACCCGAAGAACATTTTTTTTTCGATCATGTGTGTGATTAATTATGATTAATGTCGAATCAATTTTGTAATGTGTACGGGATGCAAATTAAAACGGTTGTTTTTCCTGTTGGATTTAGGGCATTGAATGATCATTTGGCGTTTGATTTTAAGATCAGGTGTTATGAATATGAAGAAGAACATAAAGGAAAATTTGGTATGATTGTTGAAGAAAACACATATTAGCAAAGACAAATCAAAATTCTGAATTGAAAGCAGAAGACAAACCTAAAGCAGACGCAGATGAGTTTAAAAAAGAATCATTGAGGATTTTAAAAAATGTAAATTTTAAAGGGTTAAAGATGGAAGAATAAAAAAAAGAAGAAAATTCTCAATGATGAAAAAGAGCACACTAAAACTGTATATTTATTAAGATTCATGAGCTTAAACCCAATTACATACTGATTTGCTGTACAGTATAAATCCCAAATATTTCACACATAAAATTCAATTAAATGTACCTATAGGTGTATTTTTTAGGCCTAATTTAGATTCTGAATAAAATAGGGAACTTGCGCATTAAATTAAATATAGAATAAATAATAAAACACACTAACTATGAATAATTAGAAAAGTTAAAACAAAGATGGAAACTTGTCAAAGTTACTACATATGAAGTCTCTACAGTTATACATAATTTTTTTTTAACTGTCATCCTTCTGAGTTCCACTGATAAGATTTTAACACCAAAATATTCAATAGATCTTATATTTAAATTAGTGGCACTGTTAGGTATCTGTAGATCTCTTACAACATTGGACCTGGTGGAGTAGGAGTGACTGACATGTTCTCCCACTATTTTGACATTTTGATACATATAAGAACAGAAACATACAAACACCTTATGGAGAGGATTTTATTAGTATAAAGTTGACAGGTGGGAAATATTTGAGGAAAACCACCTATTTAAAATATTAATTTCTTTGAATCTTAACTTTTAAAAACAAAGTTTACTGAATAAAAGTAAATGTTGCAACCATGTATGCGCCCTCAAGTTTAGGATTGAACGAGCGCGCCACAGAAAACGAAGGTACCGAAAACCGAAGAGGATACAAGAGAAGAGGCAATTAGGCATTAGAGAGACTTGAGAACAAGCTAGGGCTGTTCCTTTTTCCTTTAGGCGCGTGTCTGTAATTATATATATATATATACATGTCGTTTTAGAACGTCTTTCTTCGTTGTCCGACACATAATTTCCATCCTCTTCTATCGTCGCAATCCTCTGATGAGAGATTTCTCTCACTCATGGACTTTTGTATGGTCTTCTGCCATTCCAGTTTTGATCTTCCTCGTTTTCTTCTACCTGTTGGTTGCCAATGCAGCATTTTTCTGGGCCACCTGTCACTTGGCATTCGTTCTACCTGTCCGTTACCAGGTAAGTTGTTTCTTTTCAATGTGCTGGATTATCGTATCTTCTATACCCATTTGTTGTTTTATATTGTCGTTCCTTATTCTGTCTCTTCGTGATATTCGCATGGATCTTCTAATAGCATCCATTTCAAACGCTTCCACTTTTCTCTTTTGTCTGTAATTCTCCAAGTCTGAAGGCTGCTCTTTATCATTGTCTCGTATGTATTAAATTTTCTCTTCTTTGTAAATTCCTTGCTCCATAATATTCCATTTAGGCATCCTATTACTTTTTTAGCTTTAATTATTCGCTTTTCTATTTCTTTCACGTCTGTTCCGGTGTTGTCGAATGTGATACCTAGATATTCATATTTTTGACATTGCAGAATTTCCTGATCATCGTCCACTTCCAAGTTTCCGTTCTGGTTGCCTACACATAGATATTTTGTTTTATTTATATTAACTCTCAGGCCTCATTCTTGATACTCTTCTATCGGCTTTCTAATCATGTATTGCATGTCCTCTTTGTCACTGGCCACTATGACCTGATCATCTGCAAACTGAAGAGTAAACAGGCACCTATCATTTATCTCTATACTCATTCCATGGATCTTCCTCTTCCAATTTTTCAGTGCTACTGCTACGTATATTTTAAAAAGCGTAGGAGAGATACAACATCCTTGGCGTAGTCCTTTATTTACAATAAATGTGTCTGTGAGTTTTTTACCTATCTTAATTCTTGATTTTGAGTCTTTATATATATAGTTCTTTAAGTACCGTTATGTAGGTGTTTGTGTGTTCTAATACCTTCCATAGTCTGGATACTGGGACTGTATCGTATGCTTTTTGTAGATCAACAAATTTGAGGTGGGTTTCCAAATATCTAGCAGATCTCTTTTCTATGACTTGTTTTAGGCAAAATACGTTGTCCGTACTTGATCTTCCTGCTCTGAAGCCGCACTGTTCTTCTTCTTCTTGCTCTTTATAATCTTCTTCAATGAGATCACGCAGGATTCTACCGTATAGTCTGCTTAGTATGCTTGTGACTGATATGCTCCGATAGTTATTGCAATCCAGCTTATTTCCTTTTTTGTGAATGGATCATATAAAAGCCGTTTTCCAGTCTTGTGGAACAGGATGTCCATTTAGGCATTTATTGATAATACATGTGAGACTTTTAAAGAGCTTCTCAGTTCCTCATTTCAGCATTTCTGAGTATATCCCTTCTGGGCCGCTAGCTTTACCTGACTTGAGATTCTTAACAGTCTTTTTTACTGCTTCTTCAGATATCTCAACTACTTCTCCATGTACTTCAATATGTCTTGGAGAATCTAATATATATACCGGTCTACTTTTTTGTAATAGACCCTTGTAATGTTCAACCCATTGCTCTGGTTTAATAATCTGGATATTAGCTCTGTCTTTTCCTGGGTTTCTGACATTGTGGATATAATTCTCCATACCGCTGAGCATTTCCTTCCTCCTATGTAGCTATAGTGATGCATGTTCTTAGTTGTATTTTTGTGCCTTTATAAACTTTAAGGTCTTGTTCATTTCTTGTTGTTAGCCATTTCAGATATTTTTGCTTCTTCTGTTGGACTAATAGCTCTACCTCCTCGTTCCACCAGTATTTCTTGTTGGTATCTTTTTCCTTCGTTCCTATTGCTTCTTGGGTGGCTTCTATCAGACTCCTTATAATATTCTCATAGAGTTTATTGAAGGTACATTCTTCAGGGTTCAATAGTTTGCTATCGAGTCGCCTCTGATATAGAAATACAGTGCTGTCATCTCTAAAACGTCAAAATTATAATTTGTTGTATCTACTGTGTCCGTTAGTATGGCATTGGTGTTTTGTTCCTCTGGGTTCTTGTTCGTTTTTCTAAATTGCAACTTTATTTTGGCTCTTACTAAAAAATGATCTTACCCGCAAGTTATTCCTCTTAGGACTCTTACGTCGTTTATCTCTATGTTTGTTTTTTGTTTGCTTATCACATAGTCAATAATAGTTTTCAGGTTACGGGTATTCTGTATCCATGTGTAGCGGTGAATATCTTTGTGTTTGAAAAATCCATTATTTATTCTAAAATTGTGGGTCTCACAGAGATGTATGAGCCTTTGGCCATTATCATTGATTATTTCGTTTTGGTAATTTGGATTTCATAGTTAGGTAAGTTTTTCTCGGCTTGAGTCTTGTTTCATTGTGATATTTAACTATCACACTACCATTCTTAGTTGATCTGATATTTTTAATTCCAATTTTTAGATTAGAAGGTTTGACATTTGTTTGTAGATCTTTTTTTGTGACTTCAGCATTTTGTGGGATTCTAGGTATAATTAATATACTATAGGGATGTTATTAAACAGTCTTCTGTTTATTGATAAGTGAATCATTTGCTGTGGATTGCACTATGCTCCAAATCTCTTATTTTACTTTTTAGTAGCTTTATGATTTCATCCTTACTATCTATAATGTCAATTTTACCCTGTGATTCAAACGTTTCAAATTTAGTGCATTTATAACGTACCTACAAATAAGTGGATTGTTGCGGAACTTATGGGTAGACCTCTGCGGGACGAGCGCAGCGAGTTCCGCAGCCATCTACTTACCAATATACTGTTGAACTGTTCAAGTAAGGCATTCACCAAAAACGTGTAGTTTTTAAACTAATGAGAATAACTCACATTTGAGTGAGTCAGGTTAGTATCGTAATTAAATAATATATTGATGAATAGATGGCTGCGGAACTCGCTGCGCTCGTCCCGCAGAGGTCCACCCATAAGTTCCGCAATAATCCACTCATTTGTACTTGAATAACTTATCACAATATATTACTAGTTCAGTAAAGTAACATTACTAATTCCTGTTAAAAGGCAAATTGACAAAAAGTGGATAATCTTGCAAATTCTGATTTTACATAATAAGTTATTGTTCAAGTACAGGGTGTTTTCTCATATATAAATTTGTTACTGATAATCCCATTTGACGTAAATAAATAGGAAAAAAAAACAAGAGTGACCAGAAATTTTTATTTGCATTTACTTAGTGCTAACAAATGTAATTTATAATTGATGAGCAACAAAAATTACTGGTAATTGTTATCCTAATAAGTATTATTACCTATATATATTATATTTTCATCAGCATCATTAGTAAGTATTTGGTATAATCGTATTAGGACATAGGTACCTAATCTATATGGGTTCTAATTTTATAGGTAGGTAACGAATTAAATGTCTTCGACTTAGGAAAATAGGTACCTTACTAGTTTAACAGTTGAACAAGTATATCAGCTAAAAAAAGCTCTTTTCTTCCGTCAGGGATAAAGTTATCAGGTCTTACTTGGTTCTGAAAATGTCATATCAGGTTCCGTCTTCGTGCCTAAAATGCATTAATCCAAATATTCTTGACGAAGATTCCGAAGAAGACGATTCAGACGACCCAGAAGTGTCAGATGAGACAGATGATAATTTTTCAGATTTAGACGAAAATAATAGTTATTTATGATATAAGTGCTAAAAGTGACATTTTATTTTGTGAAAAGGGAAGTTTGGGACACGACGCCGAAGGCGGAGTGTTCCATCCCTTTAAACAAAATAAAATCACTTTAAGCACGAATATCATGCACTAT